TTTTTTTTGGACTTTGTATTTTCACTAAATTGTTACCTACTTATATATTCATTTATTTATTGATTTACTTATTTATTTGTTGTTTCAGTTCATTGTGAATGCTCGGATGTATCATTCTCGGCAACGTCGGCTCAGTTAGGAAATCTGAAAAGGGTTCAACGGATATCCGTCAGTGGCCATATCGCTGCCTATGCTGTCGAGATATCCATATCAGATGGCGAATTCGACACCGTCTATCAAGGAAACGGAAATCCCCTGGTGAGTCTGTTTACCTCCCGAAATTTTTCTTTCCTGGAGGCTTAAAATTCTTTTTCCATCAGGCTCCTCATAAAAACCATTATTTTTCTGTCCCATTTTTCTTAGTTTTCCTACCTACTCAAAATATAACTCCCTTCACTGTTGATGGGGAGAAATGATGTCAATTTCCCTCAAAAACTTTTGCATGCGCTCTGAACGTAAGGCGGTGATTGAGGAAGGAGGGGTGGGGGGGTGTAGGGAAATATAATAGAAAAGGTACATAGTAATTTGAGGAGGGGACATCAAAAAAGTCCTACTAGTTTATTTATGGGCTGGAAGGCTGTCATTTAGTTCTTTAACTGGTGTACTACATAAATTGAAAATTGATACGATCTGAGTTGAACTGCTTACTTTTCCGATTCTTTTCTCTTCTTCAATTCCTTCTGCCTTATGAAGGGACTTCAAGTCAGAACTTTTACTTATTGGGTCCATATTAGAATTTTCCGAACTAAGCAAAAGATGAGTTACTCCGTCTGCATAGCGCTTTGAAAATAAAAAAAGCTAAAATGATGAATTACCTAGTAGCCTCATTGAGCTCCGCTAAGCTGTGGCCCATCAACAGTGAGCCTCACTCCGCCTCAACCCATATTCTTCGGGCTAGGATAGAAATAAAATTTTCTTGTAGTCGACCCCATTTTGAGAATTAGCCTTCCATTAAGGATAGGGCTAGGTACCACCAATTGCATGCAGTCTTGTCTCATCTCATCATGCAGTCTTCAGAAACCAGAGTAAGCCACTTTGACGCATTGGAACCTACGACTCATTTCACATTTCGTTTGCTTCACTGCTGACACCATCCGAAGAAACTTTGCCAGCCGGCTGTCGCCGTTGCCTCATTCAACAGAAAAAACACCATAAAATGGCTTTGGCTCGAATGTTCGAAAAAAGTCGTCATCGTCTCGTCGAATCGTCGCCAGACTGCAGGCAATTGTTGGTGAACGGTGGACGGGATGGGCGTGATCACAACGGCCAACGGGCCTCGCCGTCGAAAAAAAAAGTGCGAACAAATTTGCTTCCTTTGAGTTTTCTGCTCCAGACCGGTTCTTCAACCGATGGAACATACAAGAGGGGGAAATGCATTTTACTTTTCCAGATGGAAAGGATAGAAAAACGGAATTGCTGCTCCAGCAGGGCTTCCTGCGCTATCCATGGGATTATCCCGAAACATGAAAACTTTAGAGGTTGACAACGAGGCATTTCTATCGATTGTACTTCAGGGTTTGATTTTGGCTGATAGATCAGGTATAGGATGCGAAAGAAGATCGGTGCAGATTAGTGCTCCTTTTCGGGCAAGAAATGCATGTGGGTCTTGCACAGAATCGTAGGGGAAGTTTGAATTTCTGTACTTTCCTCCACGATGATTTACTGTGGCCAACTGACATCGCTCTAGACAGTGTTGGGATGACCTTTCGAGCGTGCCTGTTACCAACTCACCATCGTATCCTAGGCGTTTGGAGGAGATACGCAAAGGAGATCCTGGGTCACCTTTACTTCCGAAAACAGCACATTACGTGGGTGTAAAAGTTGTAAAATGAAGCACCTTCGCCCAGGGCTCCCACTTTTCTCCCTTTTACTGGAAAAGGAAATGAGATTCCTACAACTTCTCATGACGTCCGTTTTTCATGGGTCTTAGAAGTCGTAGAAGTGCTAGCACAAGTATTGAGTAGCCTCTGGTAATTTCTCAGGGTACTAGAGATGACTAGAAGGGATTGCCCTGTGCTCGAACGGTCCCTTTGGTCAGCTAAGTGAAGTACCTAACCTCTCTACAAACTCGATCCTTCACATCCATTTGTTTGATCCAAGGTATTAAATTGACTTACTGCATCGATAAAAGTCAAATAAATGGCCCATCCTCCTATACCCATGGAATTCCCAAATAACATTGGGACTTACACATATAAAGTTCAAACTCCACGATTTCCAGTGGTTCCTTTCCAGATATTCAAACTCTTCTCCAAACAGCCTCTTGTCCGATTTGGCCTAATGCCCTTGACGGCTTTGACTGCCATTCTCTCACGTTTCCATCTAAGATATTTACGCTTCGCTTCATTTAACCCGCAACGGCTAGATCGAAACCGCTAAGTGTCACTCCGGCGCTTGTGTGAGAGAAAGTGGAAAGGCTTCCTCGGGAAGCGAGGGAGGGGATAGGAGTTAGATGGAGAATCGGACCAGGGTATTAATTCCAGCGTTTATATAAACGAACAACGTAGTCATAGTGGCCCGAATCCTTGGTGGGAGATTATTAGGTTTCATCGTCCCTTTCGACCTTCTAGAGGTCTTGGAGAGTTAAATAACGGGTCACTGAGACACTAGTAGAAGTGGGGTGGTTCAGTGGCTACCGTATAGCAAGCAGAGGGGCAATTTTTCGGATAATTTTTTCTCGCCGCAAAAATCGCCTCAAAAAAGCCATCCATCCGGCAGTGAGTAGGCTGTGATTTTGTGGTAAGGCGCCCTCAATCCTCAGAATGCCAGCATTCATCGCCTTAAGAGCTTTTCTATTTCTATAGTGCGTAGAGCTGCTTGTGTGTGTGAGGCCTCTTGCCCTTTTCCGGACAACGACAGCTGCCCGTTCTTGCGAAAAGACGTTTGAGCCAATGCACAGAGTGCATTGTCGCGAAGCTGCTCTGCCAAATTGACCGCACCTAAAGGGATGTTAGGGCTCGTTGACTGTGATGGATGTCCATTTGGCGGTCGGCTGTCATGGATCAACTGGAAAAGCCTCTCTGAGACTAATTTAGCCTATCGGCATGATCTCATGGATTCCGAAAGCAGCGGAATGGGTTTATAAGTCACCGGCTGTACTAAAAGTGTCCCTCCAGGGATGATTAGGTAGTCATCTAGTAGTCAGAGAACTTTAACTGTTACCAGCAGCTTCCTTCTCTTCATTTTCCCTGTCCCACGCTTCCCCGTCTGCACCTCCTGTCCATCTCCAGCTCATCCATCACATAGACGAAGCAAAGATCGGCTCGCTAAATCCATAAACTCTGCTCGTCCATGATTGACACGAGTAGCGAAGGAAGCAGTTCGTATAAAAACATTCCAGAATTGATGTCGCTACGATCACTACGACCTAGGGACCTAAGATTTATTCTACGCATCTTAGCCCATAGAGTTCACTTGATGGATCACTCAGTGGGGTAAACTCGTAGAGGTGACTTGATGGGCCACTTCGTGGGGTAAATTCGAAGTTCAAGTAGCGATTTCCTTGAGCACAATGTTACCATTCCCTTTATAAATGGCTCTCATAAGTGATTTTGCCTTCTGTAATAAGTTCCCTGAGGAGATTTCTGTGGGAAAATAGCCGTGCCATAACGATTGGGCGAATTTAACAGATATCTTTATTGGAAAACAATTTGTATGGGAGGGTTTCGGTACCTATGTGGCAAATCTATCAAACCTATTCTTTTCACAGCTCAAGGGGGTGAGGAAGTTCAGACTGCTACGCCTGCAGGGATTGACTTCATGAAGAGATGACTGATCAGAAAGGGTCCGATTTGGGTGGGCCTGGCCCTGTGTCATTTAGTAAGAGGGCTCATGACTCCATACCCCAAATAATAGAGCATTTTCCCTATCTGAGCTGCAGCATTTATGATTAGATTCTTTCGAATGAGATTCGGTTCATCGACAGAGGGGAGCTGTACCCGTAATTTTTTAAAGTACGGTTTAATGATCTCATGGGGAATTTGCTAATGTCGGGAAATGTACTCAACCATCCTGCAGGAATAATCTCCTATCTCCTATCTAGTGGGGACGCTACATAGTTTTACGCCATTTTACGGACCTGACTTTTACTTTATTTTATTTCCTCCAGTTTCTCCTTCCTAATTAACTGCGACCGCATTTTCTCTGAGACCTTTGGCTGTTTCCTTTTACATACCCACTCTGTTCTTTATGCACGTTCGAGTGCAGTTGAGCCTATGAGTCGTCGCCTCCGACAGGGAGAGTGACTCCCGTGGATGGCCCACACTCTCTTGCATTTTTACGTAACTTAGTTTCTCCCCGTTTGGGCATCTCATGAAAATGTCAAAAAAAAACTCCATGACAAGTGGATATGTCTTCCGTCCGGCAATAATAAATATCTTATTGAGCTTGTTCCGTCGGTCGACGCATTGAGTACGTTTTCTGGGGCACTTTGTATTGGGTTTGAGTTTGAGTGGCTTTGCAGGCTTCCCGGCTGAAGCAGTTTTGGCAGTCTTGAAAGACCCTCTGTAGGAGAACTACATCGTTCACTCGGACTTGAATTGAACGAGGCAAAGGGCTCTTTTTGGCTTTCAATGAAATGAGGATTCCTAACGAATCGACGTGTTTTGAAAGCGCTTAGGGACGTGATTCAATCTCTTCTGTGCCAACGTAATGAGCTAAAAAGGGGCTTATTTCTTATCGGATTTGAAGGGTTTCGCTGTAAATATGCAGCGATGCAACGGCTAGAGTGAGGGCTTTTCACGTTCTTTGGTCATCCCCGTTGATTTCAGCTTCATTTCCTGGCCGACGACTATGCAGCATCCGGCCAGACACCGTCAACTTCTGCAGCATGATGTGTTCAATTAGGCAAATCTTTCTGGGGCAAAATGGAATAAAGCATTCGTTCGGGACGGGAAATGACCGCACATTCGTCTTCGTCGACGAATTGGCAGTTGATGAGGTGACAACGATGGCCGTCGATCGCACCTCGTTCCGCTTGCCATAAATTTCTGGTCGGCTCGTAATTGACCATTAAATCGCATCAGGGCCTCTCTCCAAAATGCCAATAGATGGCCCTGAATTCCGAACTGAACGTGGTGACCAACCATGTTCACTTTTGTTCTGAAAATGTAACAATACGGTTGTTTACTCGAGAGGCTACTACACCTGTCAACCTCTTCAGCAAAAGCGGGACGGTCGACTGCAGACATAACCGGACAGGCCCTGTAGTAAAGGCCAAAGGATAGAAAGGTGCTATAAGAATACTGTTTTGGAAAAGAGACAGCGTTTCATAGTGGTTCTCGAGGAAAGACTCTTGAGATTCTTCTGAAACTCATGGTCGTCCGGGGTATCTAAAAACAATGACTCCAATTTCTTCTATCCCATTACAAGGATTTTTTTTTGTTTTCCTAATGACACCCAAAAAATAGTCCCCATTTCTTTTGCCGGAGGTCCTCTGCCGTTCACCAAAATGCCACGGCCTGCGTGAAGATTTAGTAGTAAGTGGGGCCCGGCTCCTGGGTGCTGTCTCAAGAAATGTGCGCCACGAAGGTTTAGGGAATGACCAGCCCGAAGACTATAGTATATCTTTGAAATGTTTCTTGTACAACCGTCTTATGAAAGATCAATTTCCAATTAGTTCAATCGGTTTAGAATCGAAATTGGAATTCTCGAATCCTGGGAAAAGTAAATTCTCAAAGCCAAAGCATCTTTGTTCACATTGAAGAAATGTAAATTATTGCTGGGAAAGAAGAGTCTCGTTGGTCCTGCAATGAACCAAATGAATACTGTCGCGGAGTTACGGTCGTCCATTTTGAGAGCCGTACATTCAAAGGGAACCCATATTTTATCTTTGAAATGTCTGCTTTCTATTCTTACTAGGGAAGTTCTCTGAGAAATCGGAATGGGCTTCTGAAATGTTCTGTGGGATCTATCAAGTCATCACCATCCACTTCAGGTAGTCTACTCAACGCTATCACACGTCCCTGCATGGACTCATGTGGATTTTCTGGCTTCCCATTTGCGGATAAAAAATGCCTACGGCATTGATGAAATGGATGTCAGGAGTCCGCTACTTATGCTTACTGTTTGCGATACTGGTAAGAACTTTCTTTCTTTCCATAGGCAATCAGTTCTTCGGTGATCCTTCTACCGTAGGATAATAAGCTCACGCGGGAAAATTTGTTGATTTGAGGATTTTAATCGAAAACGAAGTAAATTTTGTGGCATCCAAAAATCACTGTCGATGTTCTTGAGTACAAAAATGCAAGAGGGATGGGTATGGAATGATGTTTACGTAGATAAAATAGTATGTGAATAGGATGTTGTCTTTGCTCTATCATCCGTCTATTTCAATCTTTTCTTCAGAATCTCCGATTACGGTATTCGACGACAGTTCTTACTTGGTCGATACCCATAAAGCCGGTCTGGTGTCCATGTATGAAAACGAGCTCACTGTAGTATTCCGGTCCTACCGTTCCGGTGTACTGTTCTTCTCTGTAGCAGATCAGGGTGATATTCTCATCGCTCAGATTATCCATGGGACCGTTCACGTCATGTTCGACTTCGGTAAGTTCAATGCCTTACTGAGGTAATGCCAGATGGTTTAGTAATTCTGAAAAGTGCTGGATTGGGGTGTAGTCCGGCTTAGGAGGGTGTGTCCTACTTGATTACAGGAGTAATGGGAATGACATGAAGTCACTCAACTTCAGAAACTCATTTACTTAAACTGCACAGTAACTCTTTTTCGTTCCAGGGTCATTGTCACCGTCCCATATAAGCGCTGGCCGAGCACTGGACGATGGACGATGGCATGAGCTCCGATGGCTACATCAGTTCGACTCTGTTCAGTTGGCCATCGACGGGGTTGTGTTAAATCAAACAACACCGACCGGGCTCTATCGAAAGCTCGATTTCCACAGTCAGGTCAGCCTCGAATATCAATGTTCTTTTTGAGCTTCGTGCTGGAGGCACTGGGCCTTGTAATGGTGGCATATGAAGCTAAGACTTTCACAGGTTTTCCTGCCCGGAGGCCAACACTAGTAGGTCCAAGCAGGTGGGCTCTTAGTCTTGATGTTTTCGGCCATCCAAAAACCTTGTTTTGGTGTAGAAGTAGAAGCAGGATTTATTTACGTCTGGATTGTCTCCAGGGAATTACCTGAGCTCGAGCGATTCATGAACAACATTCGGCCCACAATCGCTCAAGCTAAGGAGATTTATATCCTTCGATTTTTCGACTCCACGATTTTGGGCTTCGCTGGGATCGGATTTCAAACGAATGCAACAAACTTCGATTACGTGAATTACTGTTCAAACAAGTTCATAAAGTCCCCTTAAATCCTACAGTACTCTTTCAAAAACCATACACACCATCGACTTTTACTTGAAGACAGTACCAGTTCGCCCATTCAGCACTTGTCGATCATGCAAATGACTTTGCTAGCTGTTTGAGCCGTAGAAATGACAGTTCTGTGTGATCGCTATCGAACTATGAAATACACTGACCGAAGCAAATATTTGTTCCGACGATAATCCGCAAATCGGAGCGCATTTCGAGTGTTTGACTTTTGGCGTGTTCTCAAATGATTAGCTTCATCCCACTCCCACTCGAACGTTCACGATCAATTGTTCTTGTGCGACCTCTTGGCACAGGGATCCCATTACAGTTTTCAATTTCAGTTTGAAAGATTTGGGAAGGAAATGACAAGGTAGTTCAGAGCAAAGGGGGATTTGATCAGTAACTATAGTCGCCCTTGTTGCCTACTTCTGTAGCCCCATTACTGTACAAGCTAAGTGGGCTCAAATGCCGCCTCAAAGCCTAGGTTTGGTCAGAATGCAAGGGGAACGCGATTAATAAAGATCAGAGTAATACCGGATAGTAGCATAGAGGAGGACGAAGGGGGTGGTCATGGTGGAGAGGCAGGGACTGTATGATTGAAAAAAAACCTCGTTATATTTGCAATATTATCTGAGAACTTTTGTCGTAACCCACGAACGACACCACACGTTGTCTGAAAGTTGTTCCTCGAATTCTAGATATACTCTGCAAAGGGTCCATCGGTGTCAGCCGTCTGTAACTAGTAGCCGAAAGCGCAAGGGTCAAAAGACCAAAATGTGAATTTTGCATATCACTCAATGAAAAAGCTGCAGGAGTTTTTTCTCTTTGTTTGGTTTTTTCTCTTTTTTTGCCTCAAACTCAACACTGGGACATAAGTTAGTGTCGAAATTCATGCAGGCAACACTTTGCCAGTTGTTCAATTCTTTCTTTAGAAAGGCCAAATCCAACATTTGCTCTTCAACCGGGAGTAGCGCTCAGTGTAGCTCAGTTTGCTCAAGCCCTCCATAAAAGAGTAAAGTTGATCTTGGGCGGGTTTATGCACAGGTTGCATTGGGGCGTAATTACGTTGAGGACAATGGAAGGTAGTGACTAGGATCGAACAACGCTTGCTCGGCCTCATTGTTCTTTCGATGACAATGATGACGACAAGGACTGGCCTAGGATATCTATGAGTACGAGGGTATGCGGGTATTTGCGTAGGGTCAGCATCGGATTAGCGGATATCAATGAATGCCACCATCGTACACCATCAAGGGAGCCTTCAATTTGTCCACATACTTGCGCTAGGAACGTTTTTGTAGGGGGACTGCACAGTGGAATGTTTTTTTTTTGAATTTTTCCGACTAAAAGCCTGGTCGATAACACCCTAACGTGGCTAATTCTCTATGACAGACTGAGATCCATTCAGGAAAGACGAAGAAGGAACCCAAGAGCAGAATCATTAGACGAGTTTCTTTGATGAGAATAAACTAGCTGTCTCCGGTAAGGGAGCGGAGAGAAAAACCTGTGCTTGATCCCCGAAAAGTGATATTTATACTTACTGATAAGCACATATTTTATTAGATCTCGATTACTGAGTAAGTTATGACAAGAAGGCAGTTTTGAAGCTTTTAGAGCTCATGTCGTTATCGGGAAGGGAAGGGAAGAGGAGTCTATCTTGATTCAAAAATGTTTCCTTTTTCGACTGAATCCACTTTGAGATGAGGGCACTTCATTTAGGCTCCGATACTGCGTTCTGTGGCGAATACGGTTGACTCCAGTCTGTACAGTAGTAATAGAACTTGTTAGTGGGATATGATAGCGAAAAAGGTTAATTCTTTGAAATAAGGCACCATCGTTGTAACCACACGATCTGTTTCTGCATAGATAATAGATAAAGGGTGAAGGATAGAGCCTTCGGACGTTAATCCCGTCAGAGGGATGCGCCTCGCATTCGACTTCCATTCAAAATCTCAGTGGCATAACGAATGCGTATTGGCCTGAACAATGAATATTGGCGGCCAGCCAATGTGCAAGTCAATGCTTCTATCCTCCCAGACGAGTCTGGTACCAATTAGCCAACATCGGAGGAATGGAAGGCTTGATTGGTCTAGACGGAAATCAAGCCCGTGACCGTGTGTGTGTAATAGTGCACAACTTGCTACTACACCACCTACACCCACAAATAATAGGTAGGGCCAAAAAATTTGATATTCACTAGATTCAGCCCCCCATAGTAAAGACCAGGTAAGCATACAATCATATTTGATTTTCAGTGGAGGCCCAAAACCTGGCAAATACCATAAAAGTTGAGCCTGCTTCATTGTGCCGATTAATCGCGAAGAAAGGGCAGTTATAAATTCAAGTTTATTAGATAGCGTTTGGAAAATCAAGGAAATATATTGCTCTGTATCGAACTTGTTAGGTGAGAGCACTCTGTAAAATTGAATTCGCCCTCTTGGGATAAAAAGAGAGCGTCGACATCTTTTCGAGCTAGAACACACAACATACACAAATGGGCTGCGAGAAAGCAGAGCTTTCTGTTGAGGTTCAGAAACTATTAATTCAATATGCTGAAAGTAGTCCATCGCCTGATTTCAGATTCACATTGGTGGTCGTCCACCGGACGAGTTTTCCGAGGGCATCGAAACGTCGTTTACCGGTTGTATGGCGAGAATGCAGCTGAACTCCGTGGACCTACTCACTTTCGCTCCCAGAGATGGAGGACATAAATGTCAGGTAGGAATAAGTATGTTGTCAGCCTGATTGAAGGATGACTGTCTCAAGGGAATGACATGGAGTGAGGAATGAACGGAAGACTTTAGGAATGGTTTTATGTGATTCCGGCAGATTTGAGCGCCACCCGGCGAAAAATGAGAGTTACTAAATCACTAGTGAATCAGTTCCTGTCTTGGGAATGCCGTCTCAGTTTCGATCAACGTTCAGCTAGGCAATATTCTTGGATTATTGCAAATTTTTAGTTCACTTATCTTTATCTCTTTACTTCTACCTCAATTGTATGTACTTGGCTTCGCACTCGGTAAAAGGATCAGCTGTCTATGAGTCTAAAACAGGGAGTGGGGAGGGCGTAAGAAAAACAACAAGAAAGTCAGCTCTTTTTCAAGTGATTTTTTGTATTACTGATAAAAAGTTGCAAATTACAAGATCCAGTTCTTTTCTGAATCCAGTTGCTATATATCCCAAAGCAGTATGAACTTAGTTTCTTATCTAAATCTAAATCTATCTATTTTTAGAAATTTTAAAAATTCGGGAAGGACTGAGACGCTTTAGAAGTTTCAGAAGAGAATAGTAGATTTTTAAAAAAATTTAACGATCCTTCTGTAGACTCTTTCGCCGAATAGTACTGTTTTTAAGAATTACAAGAGAAACTTTTACTAGAACAGATGTTTTTATTCAAACCCTCTTTGATTACTCTCCCACTCATCGTTCACCGAACTTCTTGAAAAGCTCCATTTCAGATGTCCAAGCCGCCATCACTGACATTACACGAGGCAGCAAAGGCATTTATTCCGTTCTCCTTCCTTCCATTCTCTTTCGAATTCCGGGTTCTTCCCGTAGCATCGGTGTTGCTCGACATGGTCGATGCCGAAAACAACAGTCTTCTACAAACGACGATCGACGACACCCGAACGCTCCATTTGGTCAGCAATGTGACCCGATTCAAGCAGATCGCTCATCCTCGTGAGTTCCGCTGATTAATTTGCGAGCGTGAATGACCGACATGGCTGGTGAATACCAACTAGAGCGTGATCGCTCCCATAGAATACTGACTAGCGCAAAATATCATGAATGGGAAGGGGAAGCATTGTTCGAAAGAATATGTATTCCAGGCAGAAGCTCGCTTTGCACTAAATACCCCGTCCCAAAGCCTCCTGTTCACACCACGAACTCCCCCTATTTTCCAATCTAAGCGCCTAAATACTTGAATAGAAATCAATCCTCACCTGTTACATAGTAGCTGTAACGTACACAAGTAAATCTTTCTATGGGTAAGATTGGTCAGGTTACTGGCTCCAAAGCGATGGAATCCTTCTCCAAAGAGTTATGGCTGATTTCTCAATTGTTGTAGAGCTCAACATAACTCTGTAATTTTTCTTTGAATCCATCGGTAGAGTTTTAAAGGAGCAGACAAAAACTGAATTTCGGCGGCCCTAGTCAGGAAAAGGCTTCGGCCTGACTGTGAGCTCGACCTTCAGCTCTGACTGCTTGAAATTTCAGAAATAAACGTGGCTGACGGTGGATGGCACAGCTTTTCGTTACGTATTCGAGGGGCTCGACTGGAAGTGGAAATCGATGGCTATACAGTACGTTTCCGATTGTCACAGCCCTTCACTGTTCCTTACAGAAAATTTCTGAAAATAAGTCCTTTGAAGGAAGCCACCTTTACTGCCTGGAACTGAGGCTTTCAAAGCTGGACAAAGCTTCGTAGTGCTCTCCTCTATAGTTTGTTATGTCGGGAGCTCTTTATTAAGTTTAAACTGAAAAAATTAGATTCTATATTAAGCTTTCAAAAAATCAAAAACGGAACCTATTGTTTCAACATTCCTTATACTGACATACCGTAGGATCAGGATGGTACATTCTGCCGATGTCGCAGTAGTCCCATTCGTTTATAAACAGATTCAATCAAAGCTATGATAAATTCAATCAATGAATCCCAAAGACATTTGAATGGGCCTCATTGTTCGCTTACTGTAGAGGCTCCAATATCAGCATAACAATAGAAATGTCATCAACATTGTTCTGTTCCCTTATAGAGGTGACTGCTGAAGGGCCATTAACATGGCGAGGTCAACCTGTCTTAGGTCATTCTTGTTCGGCAATAGAACCATATGAATAATTAAGGTATTATGGTTGGAAGGTCAAGAAGTTCGACGAATCTCAGCTCGTCTCACCTCATTGGTCCTCTCGTCAGTTGGTTGTTATCGATCGACAACAATCGATTTTGGCAAGGTTTATGTCGAGGGTACGGTAATTCGTGGCCGCTGTGAGATGGTCGATAGGTTCGTTTTCTTCGATTTTCAGAAATTTCAGAAATGAAATGTACACAAATAGATTTCTGAGATTGCGCATGTCCGGAATGGAACAGATTTGTGTTTGAAGCTTTCTTTTACATATTGCAATTACTGTAACGCAGCTAAATCTTGCAATTTGAAAACCGCAACGAAATAACCCCATAAAAAGTAGGTGCGAAGTCCTGTTTCCTTTGACAACTTCTTTACCTCTTCTACACCGTAGCGTGTATCTTTTACCCATTTGGCTAAGACGCTAAGACGTTAACAGCCCTTAACGTGCCTTTCGCCATCTGTCATTTGCTGAGATCGGAAGCCCACTTCTGCGGTGGCAGTTCTTTACACTCTTTAGGGCAAAGCTTGCTTGAGAAGTGAAATAAGCCAAGAGTTTTAAGACTTTCAAACAGGCGGTGGGTCGGACAGCAGAGTTCGCCTGATGAAAAGGCAAAATGAGCAATCTTATAATTTATTTTTATTACTTTTTGCCATTATGAGCGACTGGAATCGTCCCAACAGTGATTACTTAGGCCTAGTACAACATGGTGAACTAGGAATAGCAGCATGGTTGACATAACAGCTTCGAAGCGTTCCAAAGGGACAAATTACTGTCTGATACGAGTAATTCCAAGGTACAAATCAGCAGGGTAGCCGAACGGGTTACGTCTAGTCTTTTACTCATTACTGAAGTTTTCTGGCTTGTTGGGAAGTGATACAACCTCTTTTTCAGCTATAAATGCCAAATTCTTGTAAAAAATCATAGAGCTCGTCTGACTACTATCAATAAGGTTTTTGATGTGAGCGAAAAAACAGGAGCCTATACAAAAAAACCTATAAATAGCTGCGCTTATATAAGTGCTGTGTGATGTTTGATGTCTTAGCTACGGTAGTTGAGGAAAAACAGTGCTGGTCTACGTTCCCTCAAACCACTGCTACGGTAGCCTTATTACCAGAAACGACTTTTCGAGCAAATAGCAGGAATTGTTTGTACAGATGCCGCTATGGAAACATGAACAGAAGCTTGAAGGCGTTGCTCTTAACGGAATGTTGAGAAAAGGATACCTTAGCTATAGGTTGGTTACTATCTCGAGGGACGCCGGAACACGAAATCGGAAATCGGAACAAGCCAACTGTTGATAAATATATCTTCCAAATGTTCCAATGCAAAAACTCGCAGAAATTGAACTAATTCGACGAAACCCTTACCGAATACTGGGCTCCAGTGTTCCATAAGCGCTATCCTCACTATTACAGGGTCTTTATTTGGGCCCAGGACGATTTGCGTGGGTGTGAGCATCAAGAGCCCTTTAATCGGGATTGTTATTGACAAGGGCATAGCCAGAAGTTGATGAATAAAGGACCCGTTTGGGCGAAACCCCACTAGCTGTCAATTATGTTTCGGGACCACTGAAGACGGTTAATTGAACGTGGAAATTAGATAATTAACCCTTTTGACGTTGTTGACCGATCACCATGCCATTCAAAAGCAGCGATGGGGCAGTTCTGGGAATAAGGGGAATATGGGAGGGGTAAGAAGAAATGAGCATATAAATGAAATAGAATTTAATAAAAGGAATTGGGGATGCGTGTTCGAAGACGGGTTTCTGCCAATCTTATTTGGTAAATGACTAACCTCATCCTGACGCGTCTAGTTAATATCTATCCATTGAAAATAACTTGTTTACCACATTTTTAAGCCTAGATCAACCAAGCTTTCAGTGCCTCCGGGGTCGGTTAACTTCTAACAGAGTCGACTGGGAGGATAGAAGCATTGACTTATAGATCGGCTGGCCACCTCAACTTATTGTACAGGCCACATACTCAATCAAAACGTCTATGATTCTGAATAAAGGTCGAATGCACGGCGAATCGACTATCAAGAACTTTAGTTTTTTGTCCTTTATTTTTGTTGGAAACTTTGTTATCGGTTCAAAAAGTATTTGTAATTCAAGGAATAGGTATCATACAGGAGATTTCATCAAACAGTATATGCTTCTTGTAGATACAACAAAGCATAGGTTCTATATAGCCAACGTGAGCTCCTTCACTTTGTAACCTGAAACCAACCCACCTTAATTACAGATGCCTACCATCCCAATGTGAGAACGATGGAGTCTGCCATCAAACTACGCTCGCAGATTATTCATGTACCTGTACAGAAGGACATTATGGAAAGAACTGTCACTCATGTGAGTTGATTCCGTTCTATTTAAATGTTCCTGCTTTTCTCCTACCCACAACTTGAAAGGCGGAGTTGGGTCCTTGCCAAGTCGCATTCTTATCGCACGTATACATGGACAGTGTTCCATCCCAGACCTGTAAGCATCACAGCTGATCAACGCCTTAGTAGTCACCCAATTGGTGTCAATCCCATCTGGGAACGACTACTCTTTCACACTAATGACTGCAAAAAAGGAGTTCAACAACAGAGGAGAGAAAATATAGCTTCAGGCCTTGTGTGCGTTTTTTTTTGCGTTTTTACTGCGGTCGCAGATCGAATCTGAGCGTTCTTTCTCGAGCCCCAGTACACTTTCCATTATTTTGGAGTCGGTTAAACGATCCTAGACTTGTCTGTGAGAATAGGAATCAAATCTGTCGTACAGGCTAGGTATAGTCCGCATGCTTACTAGAACACCGTTTTGATTCTGGGCGCATGCCTAAACGGGAGACCCCAAGTCCCTAAAATTTCAATTTTCTTATTCTTACTTATTGTAAGCTCCCTAATATATATGCACCCCAAATACATCAAACCCTTCAGAAACTATTGGCGCTTGAAGTCTAATAGGGTGCCACTGTTTCCCTTGCACTCTAAGGGATCTAAAAATACTGAATTGTTGAGCTAGAGAGAAAATTGCTTCCGCAACACCAATAGAAACAAGATTATTTGGAAGAATTCAAAGTGCTTGACCGTGGTTGGCACGGCAAGCGAGTAATGCCGTTATCTCGCATGGAAACAATGTTCCTTGTGAATGGAGCAGAAAATGCGCAAAGACCACCTATACTGAACCAGAGGCAAAGTACATACGAAGATGGTGTACCAGGTACTCGGTATTTCCGGCGCAAGTATTAAGAAGACCCTTGAAAATACCGTAATGTGCCGTAAAGGCAGACCGATAAACCAATTTTGGATTAGGAACGCGATGGAGTAAGTTTTATCATAAGAGTTCTAACAGAAAAAGGGCCCCAAAATCGTTCAGAATTCGGTCACGACTTTCTGGAACTTCAGAAAAACCGGTGAAGGTATGTGTCATAACATATTGCGATTACATCGTATTGGTCAGAGGTAGTGCACCTTACATTCGTACTATCACGGGTTTGAGTCCCGGATCCTAGGCCAACCAAGCCTTCCATCCCTTTGTGGTCGGTTAATTGGTATCACACTGGTATCGGCTGGCCACCGCAAGTTATTATATAGACCACAGAGGCATTCACGGCGCTATTATTCCGAATGGGAATCGAATGCAGGGCTCATCCCGGAAAGGGGATTGATTAGTAACAAAAAATTTGTTGGACGAAGGCACTAAATTATTGTATTAAGTAATACGATGACAGCTCAGCACAGATTTTCAACATCACTTTATATCAACAGAGCAGCCTATTCCACAGTTCGAATACAGTGCTATTCACTCAGAATGACTTACTACTTACCGGTACAGAAACACCAACGAACAGAGTATCTAATTACTATTTACTTCTCGGATTGAATCGAATGAGAGATACCACCGGTTATCAGAAAGAGAGGTTTCTAGACCCTTAGATAGGACAGAAAACCACGACAGAACGGCACATCTATATACAACAGATATGACAAGATTTGATGAAATCAGAAGGTAACCGATTCAGAGCTCAAGGACAGGGATGTTTCCAGGAATCAACTCATTTTTAGGTAATAAATGGTAGGTATGCACGTCAAAAGGATTTGGCACTCAATCATCTAGTACATTTGTGGTGGCCTTGATGATTTTTTCGTCTTCTTTGTGGCATCAACGTAGGTAGGAGGTGGAACTCTGTAGATTGTTGGGATCGTTTGGGATGAGGTACAGTATTTACGATAGAACGAACTGAATGGTCGCATGTTTCCCGTGGCGACTTTCCTGAAAGTGTCGTTTTCGCCTTCCGGATCAAAGCTGTCGGGAAAGTGCCCAAAAACCTTACCTGAATGGGTCCAATAGCATTATTCCGGCCAAGTTGAACACCCATGGATGTATCATGTAATCAGTAAATGTATACACAATCGTATCTTCTTCCATGTTACCAAAATACCAATCCATGAATCGAACTGCCAAACGATCTGAAAGCTTTTGTAGATACCTTTTTGGCTTGGGAATTTGCTCAGGTGTTAACTTACGAGTATAGAGGATCGACGGAAGTACTGCAATCAGAACGAAGATTAGGAAACCATTGTATTTGGACTTCATTTCACAACGACGTTTTTCCCATGTAGCATCGTTTGGACGTGGACGGCGGAGGAAGATAGCTACCACTACCTGGAAACTGTTGATCAAGCCATTCTCCTTTTTTGTTCAAAACAGTCTCAAGTTTTAAAGATATACGTCATGCAATTGTCGAAATCTCTCCCAAATATTTTTAGGCATGGGTTTTCCATTTCAATATCAGGAGCTCTGAAAAGTTTCGCATCTTACAAGAGTTCCCAGTGATCATCTTAGCCCAATCGGATATCGGTAGTGTTTGGTACCAGCAAGCCTCTGGGCTAAAAGTAGCCTAATCAAACTAACCCAGGCATATCAAACCGTAGAGGGTAAGGCTGTGCAGCCGAATACCTCCTTGTTCCCATTTTTCTGGGTTCAGAGTTAGGTAAAGCTTCGCCCACCACCCAGGTGGTAAGTCTAAACCTTCCGATATGCTAGTATTGCAAGAAAGGAAGTATTTCTAGAATTTTCCAGATTCCTGCCGTGATGCATGTTTTACGAGCTCAGTTTGACTTTTCACCTCTCGGGTTTTTTTCTTGAATTTTTGACTGGTCTTCCTCTTTTCGCCAGTTGCTCTCAGGTTGCTTTTGACTCAGGGTTTCGACTTCGAATTTACTTTGCTGCTACAAATCACTTACTGCCATGATTCCGCAGATTGCCACATAGTAGACCATCAGGAACAGAATCATTGACTCTGAGAGGTAACGGAACTTGTAGATCGCTATTAGTACACCCTGTGTGATCGCCATCATAACGCAGACAGGTATCCTGTAATACTTGTTTTTTTTTACAAAATTAATCCCTCGTCTCTTTAAATTTGGAGGGTGGTGTTGTTGGGCGTCGCCCGCCTGCTCCACGATGTATGGAGACTGAATCATGGTTCTAACCCACCCAAGCCAATCAGCTTTCTGTTCCCCGGACTTGCTTCGGAATAGGTTGATTACTGGATACCAGGCCCTACTTAGGTATATAGCTAAATTTGATCCGGACTGTCCCGGCGGCCATCGTATGAGCATATCCCACTCCAAAAAAACCCTTCTACGGCTCTGGATGAATTTGAAAAACACGCTATTCGCCGAAAAAAGCTGGTGCTGAGACTTTTTTCGCTCAATTTTCCCAATTTCTTAATCCTTTTTTCATGCTCTTGTTCGACAGGACATCTCGAGGAATCCTCCCTCTAAAGTTTCTGACGTCAGTATGTCTAGCATGACGGGTTTCTGACATTTTATTTGGTGGATTACTCGTGAACAAATGGCCATTCGTTTCTGCCCATTAGCAAAACAACCGGAAATTACCATATATTTGCTTTTGTTATTTTTCCACGACGAATCTCTTGCAGTATACAAACAAAAACGTTGAAAGCACCATAGCACATGGTGATCACCATAAAAGCCGACATCATCGAGAAGAACATCTGAATCGGCTCCGTGCCAAGTGGAACCGTCTCCACGATTGTATCACTGAAATAGTAACGGAATATTGTGGAAATAGTGTGGATTATAGAAAAGCGCCAATACAAATTCGAAATCCCAAGAAATGAACCAGAAAAAAAGCCACAATGTTTGGCTGTGATTGGCAGGCAGCAGTAAGCCATGCATCCTGCTCATGGCTTTTTTGTTATTTCGATTTTTGTTTTTGCTCTAATATTTTCGGTTTTTTACGTTGTCGCAGTAGATTTTAGTGCGTGATACCGACGGAATGCTGCTAGACCCAAATCTCTATCTTAATCTGCTACGGTACCACAAACTCGGACGTGCTTTTGGCTTTGAAGCAAAATACGGATTCAATGCTTTGGGTAGAAGTTACATTCGTGGCGCAATCGCAATTAGCTGGATAATATTTATTAGTTTCTTTATTGCTACAGTCAATGTACCTTTGCCTCTGTAAAATCCAAATGAGCATCTATCCTTTGCCTCTACGTCGACGTACTATGTGAAGGCTCTGACATAGCACCCCTCCCCCCCTCCCCCCTTCTTCCTTTTTGATGTTACGAATATGTACTATCAACTTACTTCATCGTCGGTAGCTGTGAAGGTGATGATGGCGGTGCCAGAATCCTGATGTATTGGGGTACAAGACGTATTGTATAGGGGATGTTAACGGCGATCATATAGACGACAAGGTAGTCATTGACGTCGACTAGGGTCACCAAACGCCAAAATGGTACAAGTACAATCAGATCGATAAAAAACGGTAAATATGGGCAGCAGTAGTAGAACAGAGCTGCCATCTGAACAATAAAAAATCTTTGTCAAGAGACCACATATTCACACTTAGTAGCGCCACAGGAGTAACGGACACATAAAAATGAGAAGCCATCAGATCTTGAGCAAGTTCAACGGAATGACTAACAGTGGCACGAAGAAAAAAAAGTTCAAAGGAATACTAGAACATTTTCCTAGAAGGCTTCAGTTCAAGGCTATGAAAAGACTTGTTAGGTGGGCGGAGTTCTTGAAAGCACACTGCGCTTTCCTCCGTGGATCGCCTGTCAGAGGGAATCGGGTCTTTCGTGTGGTTGCCAAGCACATCAAGGACTCTAGCCAGATCACGATCACCCCGGTTTCGAATTAGAAGATTGGGCCATCAATTAGTGAATAATGTCAGAATTTATTGGTGTGGAAGCTTAACTTGAAGCTTCTTCAGTTGCCGGGAAGACGGACGGTGGAGGATTTCCAAATGACATGCTATGATCGTGATCTAGGAGTAATATGATAGCTACAAATGAGGCTGATCGCGACAATCCTTTTTTTAAAGGAAGTTCAGGAAATCAACGGAGAGTAAGCCACCAGTCTCTCTGAAAATCTCGCTGAAACTGACCACTGAAAATCGAGGGATTGAGGTTTTCTCGGTAACTTTGTCCAGTATCATTGGAACAGAGATTCTGAGAGGAAGTATCGGTCGCGACAACGCCCATGAGAGATAGAAAAGTCACTGTAACACGGATTGGAAACTGGCTATTTTTCCCATGTTCAACCCCATTTCGGTCATGAATTTGCGGATAATGATCAAAATCCCTAAGGAGATAAGCCGTATTGATCTTTGTATGTTTTTTTGCCTAATTGTTATGCCGACACGACATTACGCCGTTGACCAATATTGTTATGAGGCCCACCCTCTGCTTACCATTATTGAGCGTTCTGGTAACTATGTGAGGCGGTTGGTAAAGGTCGAAGAATTCCGCGGTACACTCCCACCGTCGATACGACGTTTTCTCCAGCATCTACTTTGTACAGTGATCGAACTTGCAGAGCTCAGCATTGTTGGTTGGAAGAAAGATCCCAAGAATAAGCTCTCCGCTATAGCCTGGCAGAAGTGACTAAAAGCTTACGCTGAAGATTCTGAAGTTTCTTGAAAAGCAAAGACTAAAAGATGAAATTTCTATTATCGCCATAGGGATTCGAGAAGAAACTGATCAGAAATATCGGTGTAATCTCTATTATGTGTACTAGATTACAGAGAACTAAATTTTTGCCTTGTTAACTCATTTGGTGGCAACGTGTGGGTGTCGTTTGGTTCTATTGCTCCATGATAACAGGAAGGCGATTTCTCTTTCGCACACCAGCTGAACCCTATCGAATGAATATAGAATTTTTCCAATCTCAGAAGGAAAATTTCCATCTGGGGTGTAAATCGCGTGCCTCAAGCTGGTCGATTAGTAATTTCAATAGCCTTTTACTGAATTGTATCGTCAGCTAGTCATTTAAGCGCAGGTGTACTACTTTAGGTGTACTCTACTTGAACTTGGCCTGGATAATTCTAAACTTCTACTCCACCAAAAATTAGAACCCGGTTTCGGCGTGGTCTGTCTGTACAAGGATAACGTGAGAGAAAAAGTCTACCTGTTGACGGTGTCGAAGTGAAATGAGCAACCTTCTCAGGTATTATTCGCAATGGTTGCTATGCGACGTTTGAGCAGTTTTTAGTCAAGTAATTGAGCTGTCAGGCGACTGTGTTACGACTAACACCTGCAGCGGATCTCATAGAACGTTTTTTGATACAAGTGAACTCCTACTTATCACAGAGGAGAGTGTAGTGTTTGAATACTACCCAGAAACCTCGAAAAGCCCTGTATGATCGTAACTATCAGTGATAAACCAGCCCGATCAAAATGACACAGGCAAACGGTTGTCAGTCCTTCGTTCGTTGCTAATCCATTTATACTCAATATCACAAGAAGTATGTCACCTGCCTTTGAAAACCTACCTAGGTAGATGACTTTGTATAAATAGATAGTTCTACAGCTATCCGTGAAGCTCTCACACGTTTAACCCTTCAATTGAGCACATTTAGCTTCTCTCCAGTTGAGCAATGCATTCCCTTTAACTTGCGTGGGGGTTAGCAAGTTCGATTGAAAGGGCGACACATTCACCTGCTCATCCGATGCCCCGCTTAGGTAATGCCTCAAACTCCCTTGTAATCAACAACCCACAACTTCAGCATGAATCGAGCGTATGGCTTAACTGGCAATGTCCCATGTACTACCATCTTCTATGTGCTACATTATCAGGAGTTACCTCGAATGTTTTACTACCTCAAAGTTATTCCCTTTATTTCAGCGAATCTTCCACGTTCATGTGAAGAATGGTGGAGTGCTCGTGGGAATCGAACTCGATTGCCAGTCGCTGGTAGAAACGTCACAATCGACCTGGACGGTGGTGGTCCGATGAAATCGATGCGGGTCGTATGCAAAATGATGAAAGACGACATGGGAGTGGATGTGGTGAGCTGGGTTTACCTCTAGTTCTCGATTGCTAATCAGAAAATCGTTGATCCATCGATTTCATGCCATCGTACTCTCAAAGCAGTTCTCTTGAAACCTCATTCCCTTACACTTGAGCTCTTTACGGCTTTGTTGACTGTCTTTTGATGAAGATGCCATATTTACACCTCTGAGAAGACTTTAAGCATAGTAGGTAATCTGTAGTATTGGTTTTGTCCCTAAAAACGCCTTTTGAGTTTTCCCACTTGGGATTGAAGTCAGATAATCGATTCACAACGGAAGATCCACACAACAATTGGGAAAAGAAGAGCTCACAGCTTTTTCCATTTGAACTACCCTCTCAGACAGTCGGGAACCTTTTGCAAAATGTTTTTACTTTGCTAAAATTGAAGACGTCAGCAGTCAGCTGAGTTATCGAATTGTAGTACCTCGTGGTCGATTACAATCAAAACATATTTTGTAGTGAGATACAAACATTGCTCGAGAAGATACAAACCCTCAACAGCTTACTACTTGAAAAGGAAAGGCGTTGTCATCTTTAGAAATCTCCACGAATTCATTTCTTAGGATGAAGGAATGATAAAATTACGATGGCAACTTTTCCGTTAATCACGAAATCCTAAAGAGGCACATGCTATTTCTAGATCGCTACCATTCTGGAGCACGATCTCAAACGACCGATATTCGTCACGGGTGACAATAATCCGGGCGTCGTCAAGAAAGCTCTATTATACGGTGTCACAACAGAGCAGATGGATCGTCTCGTTGAAGGTTTCGAATCGTGTTCACAGGTTGGTTAGATTGCTCAGAATTGATAAGATGCGATAATTGTCCTTTGGATCCTTTGTTGGGCCTACGTGTACACTGTACATACTTGTGCCTTCCAACGTTAACCCTTTGGCTATACAGTAGATGAAAACTGGCTATAGAGTGGACCAATCGTTCCTATTCCCTTTTAAATACCCTTGTTGGTCTAGCCAATGTACCAGTAACAACCCTTGTCTTTGTTGTGTGAGATACTGGCTCGACGCCCCTTCTTTGGATGTGCCATAAAAGTCACGAAACGATAGCAATCGGGGATAAGGCAGTATCCCCCAAAGCAAACATAGGGAAAGTAAATAACCGTACAGGTCTTCGTGTCGGTGGAACTGATCACCGTGAATGGATATAGTTGCCGCCCATTCCGGGCGGCACATTTCATGAGTTTTCCGAAGAATTTCGTCGCGTCGTATTGCATTCTCTGCATTATTTTCCGGAAAATTCGTTTTGAGTGCTTGCATTCTTGGGGCGCAAATTTGTTGGGCATAACTTTNGAAAGCTCTATTATACGGTGTCACAACAGAGCAGATGGATCGTCTTGTTGAAGGTTTCGAATCGTGTTCACAGGTTGGTTATGTTGCTCAGAATTGATAAGACGATAAGTGTCTTTTGGAATCCTTGTTGGGCCTACGTGTACACTGTACATACTTGTGCCTTCCAACGTTAACCCTTTGGCTATGTAGTAGATGAAAATCAGCTATAGAGCGGACCAATCGTTCCTATTCACTTTTAAATACCCTTGTTGGTCTAGCCAAAGTACCAGTAGTAACCGTTGTCTTTGCTGTGACGATAGTGAATCGGGGATAAGGCAGTATCTCCAAAACAAACATAGGGAAAGTAAATAACCGTACAGGTCTTCGTGTTGTTAGAACTGATCACCGTGCATGGATATAGTTGCCGCCCATTCCGGGCGGCGTAGTTCATGAGCTTTCCGAAGAAACTTCGTCGCGTCGTATACTTTCTGGAAAATCCATTTGAGTGCTTGCATTCTTGGGGCGCAAAATTGTTGGGCATAACTTTTATTTTGCCTATCGACGAATATGTGTATCTACTATTTTTTATTCGTGGTAGACCAAGTAACTGATCCTTTTTAGATAAGACTAATCCAAGCTTAAAAATCAACAACTGATCTGAAAGGAATTTTTTAGCGAACCAGCTTTTTGTCCGTTCCCTCCTTTCCTTTCGCTCAATGCGCTATATCCGCAGCTCCATTTGGAAGAGTATGTTTTGACTTCAGTACATGCGCTTCTCGTGTCGTGGTGGTGCTCGACTGATGACGCAAGGTGATGAACGTTCGCCTTCCTCATGGTATGCCACACGATCGGACAAACATGGTCTGCAATGGGGAGATGCACCACCATACAGTCGAATGTGTTCCTGTGCCACCAATGGCACTTGCCTTCACAACAGGTAAGAACCAGAGCTTTCCTTCATGCTTGTGTTTATGTGTAACCTTCGATTTTCTGAATCCTACGAGCCATCAAAGCTGGTTGTTCCCTCTTTCAGACGAAAAGCATTGCAGTAGAAAATTAATCGCCTAGCCCTAAACTGAAGGGAAAATATTTAAAGGAGATCCGATAATCTCCACTGCACTACATGTTTATCGACTTTTGGTGGAATTTCTTCACAAGAACCCGGAGATACTGAATCGAGGGGATATAGGTCATATAGATGAATACCTATATACAAAAGAACAGTCCTTCAAAGTAGGCAACTTAGGAGACTATGGTCCAGAGATCGTGCTCGTACCGTTCTAGTCTCACTACCTAAGCTGATAGCCACTACTTGACAAAAAAGACTGTAAATAACTCAATAAATAAGTATAAAAACTGTGATCCCGACGATGAAGTCGGTGGTAGTTCAGGATGCAACCATAACAGAGGGCGATGCTACCATTAGTGAAAAAGAACTCGACAGAGCTCTCAAATTCTCCGCATTTTTCAGCATTTTTCAAAAACCGCCCGTAGAAACAGTCCATGCCTTGTGCGGTATCGTTAATAGCTTATACTGGTAGTCTTCAGAGTAAGGTGATACCAGTGCTATTATAACCTTGACCATCTTATAAACCTCTTGTGTAACTGAACTTTCCGCGTTGCACATTCCATAAGGATAATTGATAGGTGGTAATTCAAAGAAATGTCTCGCAACCCGTAAGAATTGGCTGGAAACTTGCCTGTTCTAACGTTTTTTTATAGTTTTTTAGTATTAGATGATTTCAGGATGTGCAATTGTGACTCTGGAGAAGATGCAACCGATGAAGGGGTTAATCCTTATGCTCAACTACTCCCTGTCACAGGCCTGTTTCTCGGTGGAACGACGAAGACATCATCTATTGAAGTGGAAATTGGGCCACTGATCTGCAATAGACGAGGTAGTGACGCAGTTTTTTTTGCTTTTTTTTCAAAAATCGGTAGACGGAGATATTCTTGTCAGACTGTAGATTTACAATAATCATCGTAATTGGTAAAAGCATGATTGACAAGGCCTCATAGCTGTAGGTTCCATCAGATTCACGAGCATTCGACGGGATACTGCTGCAGGGTTTTTATTCAACTTCTTTCTTAGAACTCAAAAGAAAAAAGCTCAGTTGGTTAATTCCCTCCCTATTATCTTGACCTTTATTTATGTAAAAAGTGCAGAAAGGATTGAATATGGAACAGTCCCCTGGAACTCTTTTACTGGTACTATTATATTACACAATTTTCTAACAGTTTTATGGGAACATTCTTCAGTGTCGTTCGAATCTGTGACGTTTTCGGACCGAAATGCTCGTATAACTGGTGTCCGATCATTGTCGTCCAGAACCTTCGACCTCATGCTTCAGGCTAAGTTCAGCCACACTCATATGAGCCTTTTTACATGGGAGAGCGCCGACGCACTGCACTGGCTTCATCTCTACATTCAAGGTAAAATACTGTTAGAGTGGCTCCGAGTTCTCATCGTGTTTTGTGAAGCCAGAGCAGTTCTAAGTTAATGTTATGGATATTTCAGAAGGTAAATTTGTGGGTGAGATAGTGAATGGAGGCGAAACGGCTCAGGTGGTTACCGATTCCATCTACAATGACGGCAAATGGCATACGGTCTACTGGGAAGCAGACAGTAATGGCATGAGATTACGTGTTGACGGCAAAACCAGCGAAACAAATGCCACACTCATACTGCCCAATGCTCATCAATGGACTATCGGTGAGTCAGGGAAAGGTATCATTAAGGGCAAATTCCCCGCTGATGTCTTCAAACGTCAAAATGTGAAAATTAAGTTTCGTGGTCCATCACTTATACCACTTATAAGAAAAATCGTTTGGAAAAATCGAAAAAGGCTCGTTTGGGTCGTTCAAATTCGGGTCTCGAATGAGCCACTGAGACATCTCTGTCTGCTAGCCGCACGCAAGTGTTTCGTAGAAGAGACGACGTAACGATGATATAAAAGGGCTGTCCCAGTGCCACACCTGTTCAAGTTGTCTCGTCACCAAAGAGTTTACTTAGGGGCGGGATAACCTGCACAGGTGTGGCAACCTGTGTATACAGCCTAGCTGACAGTCTTTGGGACATCCTTTGTCGCGATAGCGATAGAATGCTTACTAGTCAATTGGCTCGCTTTGTAAAAAAAGTAAAAATATTTGAGAGGAACAATTTGCCTCCATTTTAAACAACTGATGTCGATTGAGGCTGATCGTGCATCTTTAGCAATGATCATCTGACCTATTATTTTGTTCAGGTTCCCGAACAGAACGCGGATTATCAGGCTATGCCGGTGTCATACGAAGTGTTCACCTAAGTGGGGAGGAGTTGACATTGAGCTCAATTGTCAGAAAGGACTACGACAAAGGTACTTTTTTACTCAGAAACATTCAAGGCAAATGTCAGAACTTCCCCATGATGAAATCCTCGAAAGTAACTTTTTGTAGGTGAATTCCTTGCTCCACCTGACTTCGACAATTTTTAAGCATAACCGGGGTTAGATTATGCAACTCGAGAGGGGTTTATCATTGAAGATTGCTCTTTTTCTACTCACAAATGAATGAGCTCAAGTTATTAGCAAATTCTCTAGCGTAACGACCCTGTCCAATATGTTTTAGTTCCTGAGTGATGATATGTGTAAATAGAAAAAATCTCGGAAAGTTTTCCTCTGCTGAAGTCACCGGATCCTCTACAACTGTGATTTTTGGCATTTGTTAAGCAATCGCAATTATAATACTAACTGAAAAATTTTACATCTAATTACTTCCTTGATGAGTAGCTTTTTAGCTTCCATATTTTCATGTTGGACTATTTTAGGTGTTCATATAGGTGAAGAAGGTTATTGTCGTGTAGGCCTATGCAAGAATGGAGGTGTTTGTGTTGACAAGTACGACGGTTACACTTGCGACTGTACACAGACACCTTTCGGAGGCAATGACTGCAACAAAGGTAGGCAATCGAGCCTTTATGCTGAGTGCAAGTGAGATTTCTCCAAGTTCTAGCTTAATTCTTAGGAAGCGGGTAAAAAAGCAGGATCAATTACTTTCACACTCCGTATTCCCACCACTTTGGTGCATCGTTTTCTAGAATTTTCGGGATTCACTCGAAATCGTGCTTTACCAAAAACAGGGAAGATTGTCCAACTTGTAGTCATAATGTCTAGTTCTGTATTCAGAAGGAATGCAGGGGCTTTAGCCATCACTTTTCGCCAATTATTAAATTGAAGAAGGGCTTTATTCCCGTTGCAATTCGAGTATAGAAGGATTGATGAGAACTCGTCTCCCTGTTTTCATTCTCGACATCATCCTGACCGCGAGTAGAAAGTCCTTACCGCCGACAAGCTCAATCTACAGTAATCCACGGAAGAATGAATTTCTTTCCAGAGTACAGTATGTTCGTTCCGGCTGGTTCATTCCTGCAAATACCATGGCAAAATCCGGCTCACACCAACAACTGTCATCAGATTGCCATCCAAACCAGCATCACAAACGTCTCGCTAGTCAAGTCAAAAGCTCTCTTCGCTGAATCGACATTCAATATGTCGATAAATCCACGAGGTTGGCTTTAGTCATCTCTTCTTTACTGTTGAGTGGTTTGATTGTGGCTATTCTTCCAGGACATCTGACTTTGTCGGTCTATGACGGGTTCTTTTTCAATCACAGAGATTCGGAAAAGCGATGGAATCTTAGCGATAATATCATGCATGACATCGCTTTTTGTGCATCGGAGACAAGCTTCAACCTGACGGTGAGTTCCAGCACTTCAGCTATCCATTCTCTATCCATTTATGCTTTAGTTAAGGAAACTTCTCAATAGAGAGTTATTCAAGGATCCTCTATACCCCATAGGAATTTTTTCTGACGCCCATTTGCTCTTCAGATCGATGGCGAACCATCCATACACTTTGAAGGAAACTGGACGTTCTTCCAAAGCTTCAATGTGTGGACGTTCATGGACAGAAGTGAGTGGAGTTTCTCTCGGGATTTTGCTCGCTCTTGATTACATCGTTGCAGATTTCACTGGATGTGTCTCACGGATGCGTGTAGGTTCGTCATTCCCACTCAAGAATCCCAAAGCCGCTCGTTTGAAACACTCGGGACGAATTCGTTTTGGAAGCTGCTCTATGGACGTGATGTGGGTCTATGCGCTAGCACAAGCTCTTAAAAATTCTAGAAAGATGAAATCGTTAAATATTCCCCATTTTCTCAACACAAGAGCAGAACCCAACAGTGCGCGTGCGGACGCGACGCGGCCCGGGTTGATGGATCGATAAACATAATTTCTATTAATAAACGCCCTGTCCTCGTTAAGAACTAAGGGTTGATTGAAAGGGAAAGAACAATTCTGCCGCAAATTAGCGGCCTGGCTTGCTCCATACTCGACCTACCCAATGATTTACTGATCAGGCTAGGTTCAAACCCTTCTTTCTAGATTGGTTTGACACCCTTTTACTAAGAGTAGCCCTTGTTATCGTGGCGTGGCTTTGCATCACTCCCGAAAACCCCTTTGGTTTTTCTGGCCTCCGCGTCGTCTCACAGAGTTTTTTAAGAACGGGTCAGAAACTGTAGACTTTACCGCTTACGGCTGAGCCATTGTTTTGTTGGAATAATGTTTTTCCTGAATTAGATCCAAAAAGTAGATTTCAGTGATACCCGCCAACCATCAGCAAGAGCACCTGACGACGAAGGTATTCATATCCACGCAATAGCACATGCAAAACATCATCTAATCTCCGTCACGTGTATGTTTCACTGTAATTTTTTTTTCATTTTTAGAAGGCTATCGAGGCCACTCTGTTCAAAAATGGCTGCTAAATCGAGCCTTTTTATATTGAAAGCACCTTTCAGCAATTGTTGGTCTGGCTGTAGCCGGCATCTTGGCACTTCTGCTAGCAATTCTTGTGTGCTACATGAGATCTCGCCCAGAAGGCGTGTACAAGACAAATGAAGGCGAATATAGTCCATCTCGAAGTGAAGAACCACTGGTAAATGGAATGCCAGCTGGTGGAAAAGAGTACTTTTGTTAGTGTCGCGCTAGGTAAACGTTAAGCCGACCTCATTTCTAGTACTTAAAGTAGTTCATAACTGATTACACTCCTTTGTGATTCCTGATCTCGTCTTTCTTTACGCATATTCCGGGTTTAGAGACCAACTTTGCATAATGTCCATGTTGTACATTTGTAAATACGGGTACTTTTATAATAATGTGCAGTGAAAAGCGCAATAAAGCTTTTTATAAAAATTGTATTTTACAGTATTCTTAATCACATTATGAGGCAATGACAGTTAAAAGAAAGCGTGAAATCAGATTAGGAATAGTGATGTGAGAATTAGAAACTGCTCATATGGAAAGTGATAACTTTGAAAAATGGAAAAATGCAGATATACGCAATACTGGAAAGGTCAAGTAATCACAGATAGTAAGGTATCAACCTGACAGATTCCAACTCTTCCTGCAACTCCTTGGTCTTTTCGACGAGGGGAGTTTCGCAGTACAAAAACCTCTCCAACGAGCACATTCTTTTGAGAGCAGGTAACACGCACTCTACTTTATCCAGCATACAAGCACCTAGCGATAAAAACTTCAGATTGCATAGAGTAGTAGTAGCAGATATCCTGAAATATACATATCAGACGCAAAATACGAAAAACTACAAGATAACCCTACAATAATACAGAATAACAAAACGTAAACTGGAGAAAAGGAAAAAAACCTCGTGATAGGATTTTCATTGGCAGTGAGGTACTCAAGGTTCGGCAGCAATATACCATCGAGACTAGACAACTGATTGCCGCTGACGTCCAACTGGGTAACCAAACCCGCTAGAAGCTCTACTCCGTCCAAGCTGCAAAACGTCTCTATGGTGAGGGAAACCTGCCATTTTGAGAAAACGAGCATTAAGAAAGGTAGCTTCCGCTGTGTCGTCACCAACCTCGATATTTGTGCATTACGTATAGCTAATTGATTATTCTTCCCATCCATTAATAATTCGAGAAGAGGTTGACCGTCAACTTCATCTCGTAAAACTCGATTCAAAATTTGACGAGAAGCCAAGTTCTTGTAGATCTGAACAAAATTCAAGCATTTAATCTAAATGAGTTACACGGTTTCGACGTACCTCCTGCCTTTTTACATCAAGCATGGTTGCCAGAGTACCTAGATGTTTAAGAATTTCTTCGTGACATTCGGCAGGACGAGTTTCCATTAGGCACAACGTATACATGTAGTGTGCCCACTAAAGTTCGCAAATTCATATATATTCATTTATTTATTTATTTAATTGCTTATTATTTATTTACTTACCAGTTGGGCTGCCCGGTTTACGCCGGGCCCTCATNGTACCTAGATGTTTAAGAATTTCTTCGTGACATTCGGCAGGACGAGTTTCCATTAGGCACAACGTATACATGTAGTGTGCCCACTAAAAGTTCGCAATTTATATTTATTAATTTACCTCAAATTTTATTAGTCAGATCAGTTTTGAAATTTACTAATATCCAAATATTTCTTACTGAACCTTTAGCAGGTATCAAGTAACAGATGTGTCTTTACCATATTTTTCGGCTCCATTTCCATCAGCTGCTTGCAGTTTTCTGTTATAGTCTCTATAGCAACATTTGGTTTGCGAATCGTCATGTCAAACGCCTTTCGTAGGAGCTCCTGTAATCAACAAATGAAATGAATAATTCAATTATGCAGCATTAAACAGATTCACGGGATCCATAGAACAACAGCGAGCGTGGTAAAGTGTAAAAAATGCTTTGAAGCGTAGTTAGTTCGGAAGAGATGGCTCACTGGGGCCAACCTGACAAGTCCCTGTGAGAACCCCAAGAACGACAAGCTTCCAGAAAGATTTGGTTGCCATAGTTGAAGAGCAATTTACCGCTGCTTACAATTAGTAAAGTACCAACCTTATTCACATATGGCTTCTTGGAGACATCTAAGATGTTCCCCTCATCAAGGTTGAGTCGGGCGATGCATGGCACATCGGACATACACTGCCAAATCCTCGTCGAGTGTGGCTGCTCAGAAAATGCCGAAATCTGGAAACTTCTAGAACTAAACACTACTATCGAAATCATCGAATTAAGACTTATCGAAAACCAACCCCTCGCCAAGAAGCCTCTGAGGAAGATTCCACAAAAGGTAGCAGTTCATTAAAAGTGCAAGCTTTCGACATAACAATGGTAGTGTTATTACCATGGAAGGATATAGTGAGTGGAACAGCTGGCGATACTGAGTCCGGCCTCACTGAAAATGACCATAGTGACACTTTAGCACGAAAAATTGTGGATTCTTAGACATAGCGCGTTTAAACAGCGGAAATCCAAAAAAACCTACAAAACTCTTTTTCGGAACCCATTTCAAGAAGCCACCGACTATAAACCCAGGCACTTTGATCGTCGGGGTCAGTGAAAAAGGCGGATGTCACCTTCTGAAAATTAGTCGATATAAATGAGATCTGTGACACGGAAATTATGTGGCAGCTGATTATATAACAATCACTCACAATTAGCGCTACTCCAGGTTGCTAATTTTTCTTTGAAATGTATCAGAATTACATCGAAAACGAAGGAAACGGCGTGGTTGGTAGAAAAATGGTAATTTACCTTTAGTTCACTCGCAATCACGGTGTCGTCAAGTTTGAATTCGCCAGTCTTAGCATTCTGAATTCTTGGAAGGAGCACTGCTCGGTAATGCCAAGCCGAATAATTGGAAAAATTCTGAGCGATGAGACGATTTGAGAATCTGAAACATTAGAAAGATTGATCCCACAGGGTTTCACTGAGCAGAATCAGAAACCCACTCACTCGAGCTCTTCCTCCTCTCCAAGGTTTCCTAATTTTGCAACGACACGGCGATGGTCCCATGTGTGAAAATTCCTAGAAAATTCAATTACAAACTTGTAAAATGCCTCCGTAATTAAAAACTGTACCGGCAATCCAACTTGAGAGCTTTCTCACAAAGCGCAAGCTCACGTTTGATATCTGGATGTTCCTGTCGTTGTAAAGTCCAACCTCGATGGAACCATACCGCATAGGACTTGGGATTTTCCTTCAAAATGGACTTTCAAAATACGACGTGGCGGGATGAGGAAAGTTAACTCAAGGCTCGAGAAGTCTTTCCTTACCTCCAAACATGCTTGCGTTAGAAACAACTCTCCCGACAAAATATTTTCTATTTTCTTCCTGCACTTTTCCTTACATGAGTCGTCCTCTGTAGTTGACTGTAATCAATGCGATAGGGAAAAATTTGTAGCAGATCAACGAAAACAATGACCAAAATGATGACAGCAATTTCAAATACGACTGAATTCTACAGATAACCAAGTCGTAAGAGCCCTACTTTTGAGCTTCCGTTGATAAGCCCTCAAATAAAAAGGGAACTAAGATAGCACAATAAATCCGAAAGGAAACCTCCCATCCATATAAAATTCGCCTTTCTTCAACCTCAGTTAAAATTGTCACGGCCATACACCCTATGTTTGGAATCGACCCGCTAAAATAACCTCATAACGAACGTTTAGCCAACGATCACGAAGCAGCGCTTTTTTCCTCCCTTTGGTCCCTTCCATACTACGCATGAGTGGCACTGGAACGTATGGTTATCATACTTAATTATAAAGAACACAGCCGTGGTTCGAACCGGTGCAACCCACTAACACGTGCGACTTTCTGGGCCGTTAGCCCACTTTTCTAGCATGAGAATTTCAACGGAAGAGGGTATGGTGTTTTACAAGGAGACCCAGCATTATCCAGTGCTCTTCTCACAACAACAACTAGACCTTTTTTAACCCAATGAGGCTTTTATTTTGAACAGCTTAATTTGAAAAAAGAACAAAGAATTTCAGACGGTAATGAAAATTCAAAAAACGCCAACTTACCTCACAATCCTTCCATTCCTTAATCTTTTTCTCAATCGTTTCTCTTCTGATATTCCAAAACGTATATATGTCTGGGTTTTTCTCTAACAACCTCTGTGTCAGGCTCAAAATTTCGTCATCCAACTCTCCTGAAAAAAAGAAAGAAATGAAATGAACGAAATGGGGCCGTGTATATCAACTAACAAACATCTTGCGAATAACATACCTTTGGCTCTCTTATCAAAGATACGATCGCGAACTGTGCAAAACACCTTGAGTTTCGCAGCTCTCTCCTTTTGCTTTACTGCTTTTTCTTCATCACTGGTCGGGACCTTCTTGACAAAATGCATTTATCTTAATATGTGATAATAAAAGACAGGTGACACGTGAGAACCTTCGAAGAGAGGGTATGCAAAGTGCGAAGGGATAAATTGCAACAATCCGATGATTTATTGAAGATTTCACAATCGCCCTGTCAAAGAATCTCACGACTTTTCAATTTTTGTAAGAGTACGTTTTTGGGGTAGTAGGCTCCGATTGCAGAGCACTCAATCGAATCAAACTGGAGATTTTGGCATTTTCAAATCTTTGACAGCGATAGCCCGAAATAAGCCGGCCAGTTTGGTCACACCCTGCCCATTAAAAAAAGTCGAGCATTCGAGAACTATGCTAGAACTACGGTAACCGCTAGTTCGAAAAATGCGTCGAAAATTGCCTCACTTTACGCGCCGTACCGTTGTTTCAAAGCCCTACTAAAAGTTTTCAGCAGCTATTGGAAAAAGTTGAGTCAGACTGAGGTCATAAGAAGGAAAGCTGAAAGAAGGACCAAGGAAATCAAATCTGCAAAAATCTTCAAATTCATGAAGAAATTTGGATAATCATCTCACTTAGGTTGACACGAATGTTGGACTGAATGAGAAATAGCTATCGAAATTTGCGCAAGCGCTACGCTTCCCTGCAAGGTGACTCACCACAAAACCAGATATGAAATCTCACGATTGCTTTGCACAGAAGGTCCCTCGAAACTCGCTCATAACATCAACCAACCAACGATGTATTATTAATTACTTAAAGCAGTGAGGTATAAGATGAGGAAATCTCCAGATAATCGCTATTCTGTTCATTAAAAATCCGTTTATTAGTCAACAAAGGAGACAAAAATGCGCAGAGCGACATTTGAAAGGGTTTCGATTGAAAACGTGGCAAACTGTAAACAAGGAGCACTGATGAGTAAGCAAAGACGAGAACGACAACATCGTATAGCGGAATGTGAACAAATAAACGAGCACGATCACAGCAGGTGGAAACATCGAGTACATAACAAACAGAATGACTTATTTAGATACCAAAAACGATTTGTATTTCAGAAAGGCAGAGACCATAATCCACGCCACTTATTTGGTCAATCGTGAATTTTCGATGGCACAGATACCACCTTGTAGTTTTCATGGATGATTGCGTGATTCTCCTTCCCATCCAATGCTTCAACATGACCAACGACCCAAGCTGGGAAGCCATCGAACGACTCCATGTCACGGATAAAGGGCTGAAAAGAATCTCGCAGTGATAAAGATAGCTGCAAAATGGGTTCCGACTGGGCTAGTTGCAAAAGCATGGATTGCTTGATGGGAAAAATCAAAGAAGTGGTACGAGAAACAATGGGGATCAAATGACATAGGTGGATAGAATGAAGATACTGCTATGTCTCACCCTTTTCAAGGCGCGTGAAATGGCGCGCATGAGTAAATAAATAAATAAATAAAATCTTAAAAACACAACAGTAAGCGAAAAAGCACCTCAGCATTTTCTGGGCTGAGGGCTACAAGTAAACCACCACTGGTTTCTGCAGAAGTGCCTCCGAAAAGATTGCCTCCGAAAAGATTGAAACCGTTTCGATTTGGCATTTTCAAAGCGATTTCGTCCATGTATTCAATCACTGGCAGAGTGTCAATGACAAATCGAACATTCGCTTTTTGGGCCCGCGAAAGGTTGTCTGCGTGACCTATAATTGAGCAAATCCTTAATAAACTATAAGCTTATCAACAATTAAACATTTGAAGATTGGGCGCAACTCACCAAGAAGTCCGAAGCCAGTCACATCTGTAGAGGCATGAGCGTGGTATTTGTGAAGCATTCTTGCAGCATTTCTGTAAAAACACAAGTAAAACTATAAAAAATTGAATTATTGATGAAATACGAAGATATTGGAACAAACCTGTTTAGCCGTGTCATTTGTTCTGTAACCTGCTGGAAAGCACGAATGATTTTGCCTTCATCCAGGCCTAACTCCTCAACACGCCCGTTCTTCTTTTTGAGCCATTCGTACGAATTGACAGCAACCTGAAAGGAAACACATCCGATCGTACCACTCTCATGTAAACGTTCCAACTGTCGAGACAGATACCACTAATGGCGAAAAGTTGGAATGAGTAAACAGCGATATTCAATTTCTTGTGATCAAGCCTGGAATGCATTTATAACCGCAATTACATGTAACACATGGGTACTTAAGGCGCCCGAATACATAAAGGGCAAGGAGCAAAAGAGAGGGATTAGGATGAGGGAAACTTCATCGCACGGTCGGTAACTATAATAGAACAAAATAAGGCAGGATGAACAAAAGTCAACATTCAGTAGCAATCATTAGGAATCATGTTGCTCAATTGAGAAAAACGTAACCTTCTAAAAGGTCATTAGTAGAAGATCCGTTGTTCACTCACCTGACCGCCAATCGGTTTCGTTAGAACTAAAACATCTCCAGGTTTGGCTTGATCGACTCTAATGATTTCCTCATCAGCAGCTACACTACTTGCAACGCCACCGAGAAGCAGCCAAGGACAACGAACGGTCTGCCCACCACGAACTTTAGTTTCAGCAGAATCAGCAGTGTCCTGAAGCAGAGTCCCTGATTGTTCAATGAAGAGTAGACTCATTTCCTTATAACAACGTGGAATTTGAGAGAAAAGTTTACTGTAGATTTGCACGAAACCCACAGCAAGACACAAATACGAATGTCCTTTGAATAAGGGGGAACAAGGCGGAGTGGGAGCTGTGAACAAAAAATAATAATTCATAGCACGATAGTATCCAATTGATCACTTTTACACCTTCCTCGAATGAAAACGGATATTCGCCTGTATCAGCACACTGTGCATTGCCATCAAAGTCGTCTAATGCAAACTATAGACCACCTTCCAGAATTTACCGCTATTACCAACAATATTTCCAAAACAATTGTGTTAAGAGGGGCGTGCAACATTCTGATCTACTCGAATAGTAAAAAACATGCAGAAGGCTTATCAAGATTTACTCAGTCGATTGACGACTACAGAATTCAGTGAGGCCAAGGCGCACAATGCAAGAAAAATCATATCATTGCCAAAATGAATAGCGACGTCGTGTTGGAGAACCTATTTGACTAGTTCTATGTTTCCACCCAATGCCGGTCTAACCTCAAGCTTTTTTTTCCATTTTAATTCTACTGGAGATCAAGCACTCTTCGCGTTGCTCAATTCCAATTGAACCAGACTAGAATTCTTTACCACAAACTGCTATCCCATTGAAAAAGTACCTTGAATCCTTTGATAAACATAGAAATGATAATGTCGCGTTCCTTCTCGTTCAGGTCCACGGCAACTCCAAGTAGCATTAGCATGTTATCACAGTCGACAATGCCCATAGCATACAAATCACTCAGCACATTAGCGCATGTCACTCTACCCTAAACTAAGAGATCTAACACGCCGGATAAATAATTAGAATACCTTTATACCTAATAGATACCATAAGGTACGGGTCGTCGACCAGAGGGTAGAAAAAGTCAGTGGTCTGGACAAGATTCAAGCCTTTATGTCGAAGAGGTACCACGCAGCTATCAAGCCCAATACCTAGAATTCGATCATAACTTCAACAGTTTACGTATTTGAGCAATTTGGGAGGTTATTATGAAGAGGGAAGGGACGAATTTGGAATGGGCTTCTGTCGATTGGAAAATTTGAGAATCAACAACACAGTTACAATGGCAATGCGCAGCCTAAATGTTTACTCACCCTTCTTTCAACATTTCCCTACTCCATCATAACTCTGATGACATCTTCGAGCCGATCCTTCCTTTCCTTCATTGGTACACCTACAACTCGTTCACAATTTTCTTTCTTCAAATATTTACGTCCGAAAAAGTAAGCAACTTTGACTATGTCAGCACTCAAGGAACAAATCAAGGCTACAAAGTGGAAGTTACCTCTGATGGAGTAGGGAAATATAGAAACAGTAAACATGCTATATTGTAGGTTTAGAGCTGTGGTTCTCCTTTTAACGTTGGCATGACCACTCATGTTCCATATTCCCTATAGGGCACGAGAAATCCTCATTTGTAAGAAGGCAGATCTCACAATCGCGGATTATGTGACATAGTAGGTACATGGAGGGGGAGGGAGATAAAGGCCTTCATAGTCAGGAAAATCCCCACGTATAAAACGCGCTGAAAGAACGTCTACTGAAACTCTTTTTATCATCGTAACCTATATTTGAGTGGGACTTCGCAACCCGGATCGCTGTGTCACAAGGTCCGGGGCTTACGAAATCGGACAAGTTGCACGACCACACTTTCTTCTGCATTAAGTAACCTCGTCCAACTTTTTACGAATGACTCCTTTAAAACCCATCCACCCATTGATGCATGACTCTTTCCAAACCAAGCAGTGATGTCTTTAATAATAAATATAATGAATAACCCACTTACCCACACCATCGCTATCGATGACAATGTCAGAGTCGAATGTTTTCAAAAGATCTAGGAGAATCTGAAACGGACGTAATCATCTCAACGAGGTGGACGCAGAACTTAGCCAGTAGGTAATGCTTGTGACCGAAACATACCGCTCTAGGAACTTTACATCCACAGCCCTTCATTGCAGTCAGTTTGGTAAGGATAAAATCTTCAGGTAAGCCATGAGCAACAGGATCAAAGCCCTCCAAGATCCTACTTATCCGCTCACGGTCCGAAGCCATTTACCTTAAGGTGGAACTCTCCGTGAACAAAATAAGAATAGAAGTATAGAGAAAGAGTAATAGAGTAAGACAAGGACAAGCGAAAACGGAACAATGTCGGTTCAGGCGCAACCGTTTAAGCAAACGACACCCGACACTGCATGGACGTCAAGTAAAACGCTAGTGTCGCAATACCGCCCAGGTCTGCTATTCGACGTTATGCTACAGTAACCAGCGAGGGAAAGCGATCGTTGGAATGGGGGAGCATATCGCTCGAATTACGTTACGGTAGGAAATTGGACACTGGCGACTTTCCGTTTTCGTGGTGGAGTTGCGATATTTTGCAACTGACAGCATTTTTTGCAGATAGTTCATTTTCTCGATGCACCAATGGAGGAGACTCTAGTGCTGAGAGTGGAGCGAGCCCCGCGGTTGGGCAGGTCCTGTCGCAGTAGCCGGGCCTAAACCCAATGTAGGGACTTTTAGTTTTTCTCATATGAGCACTTCCACATTTATACTTCTCACTCATACTTCTCCAGCTGCAAAACTGTTATGAAGAACAACAGTAAACAAAAGAAAATAGGGAAGAAAACGCCTCTTAAAGATACGACTCGTCGACAATTCGCAGTGCCACGTCCCCTCGGCCGTCGCGTTCGCAGTCCTAGTTTGTAACATAAACGAAAATTCGGGACGAAAACTCGGTTATTACCGTTACCTACCGGGGAAATAGGATGCAATGGGCGCAGATCTTCACAGATAGCACATCTCATTTCACAGCATAAAATTGCTTGAACTGCCCAGTCCCAAGCCTATTCACACAGTTCGAAAATTGGTCCTGGGTAAGGATGCGATGACGGTAGTTGGGTGGCCCCATGCGAACCATGATGCCTACGTTCCAGTGCCATCTAGGGCTCGAGACAACGATCATTACAAGTGTCGGTTCAATAATATGATTGCAATTGAAAGCCGAATCCTTGGATATTTATTTACCTCAGACAAAACAGTTTATTGACAGAGGTAATGATGGCTATGAAGTTGATCAACTATTTGTAATTGAAGTGTTTTCATGCAATTGTTTGAATCATCAATCCTCTTTTTTCGCTTTACATTCGCGTTCAGAATAACTCGTCATCGTGTTCGTTGACATCGACCCTTCATCGTCCCAATCCCAAGCGTCAGACATTCGAAAGCCTTTTTCTTCTCGTACCTGGAAGTGAAACCTGAAGAATTGAATGTATGCATCATTATTTACAGAAAGAACACCAGAAATAAGGAAGTTCATGACGAGCGTCAGGACCTACACTACCCCGCCAGACGCTTATTTCACCCTTTATTCTTCTCGATGATGTTCTCGAATCCCATCTGAGTCTCCCGTACAGAAACAGGCGACGAAAAAAATCTCATCCCCTTCTGCCTTTTCGCCGGTGGGTGTCAGGGGATTTTTGAGCGTCTGTGGTGGTCTGATATGGGTGACAACTGACTACTTTTGAGGTCATTCTGCAGAAGAATGAGCGAATATCGGACCCCGTTAGCAATTTGCGTGCTTTATTATCGAGGCTGGACGGTACAGCGAATTTAGCCTCGAATGCTCATGTTGCAAATCTTCAATAGTGGTCACGGGCATCAAGCTGCAATGATCGCATTGGCTAGAAATAAGTTCCCCTCTTCGTCTTTCGATGTGGCTCTATACATTGCGCGTTCCAATCAGGAAGCACCTCTGGATTTTTTTTATCATGCGGTAGGTGCGGCAGTAATGGGGCGACTCTCAGAATTCCACATCCGTGAGCCAACAGGTGAACGTATAGCAGCACTCCATATAGCTGTCAATGTGGTTTACGCCGTCTATTGTGCATAGGATTCAGATTCGTAATAGGCCTGTGATAGATCAGAGTGAAAAATGAAACTTACGGCGTCTAGCAAACTGTGCATTTTGTCGTAATCTGGCTGAGATTCAAAGTTGTATGAATCCACCATAGTGAGGATTGCGTCAAACTGTTTGGGCGTCTCGAAGAGGAACTGAATGCGACCAGCGGCTCGGGCTGCCTGTTTTGCAGCACGTACAGCATTACGATCTGCAAAAATGTACTGCACTGTAGTTAAAGCGAAAATCGGCTCTAATGAAATCTATGCTCTTCATATCAATAAGCGATGGAGCCGTTTTCAACGGGGCCCACCGTCGCATCAAACGCTATGTTGCCGAACCTCGAGAGCGACGATAGCCAAAGGGCAAAAGTACAAAGGCCCTCGCTTCCCTATACTCGTTGACCAAAAATTCTTGGATGCTATGGAAGTTTCTTGGCTCACTATCCCACTGATTCCAATGAAGTAAGTAACAAGCCAAGAAAGCTTCTGTGTGCGTGGTAATGCGCCTTTTGTCATTATAACCCCCTTTGCTTTTGTTGTGGTTCGGTGTAAAAAATAATGGCACATACCTGTCACCAACCTCCACGGTAAGGTACCTCTCAGCATTTCAACTGACATGTAGAACCAACTTTCGACATCGTCACGTCGTGAAAGATCCTGAAACTCGTCCAAGAAATTTTCCGATTGGGATCTATTGGCTGTGTTTGCTGCTGCCTATATTAAGGCATATGACTGAGTATACGGCACTTTTTGGCAAGTCAACTTATATTTAGAATAAAGTCATTCCTGAGAAAGGGTTAAGAAATATGGAAATGCATTGTGACAAAATCTATGAGCTTTTTTTTAGATGACGGGATTTTCTCAGCGCTATTAGGAACACTATGAAGTTTGGTAGTCCAAGTAGAACCCACAAATCAAATAAAGGATAAGGATAAAAGTTTTTGGGCGTTAATCAATCCGCTTGAGGGATGTGCCCACCGACTTTCATTCAGCATCGTCGTGACTGTTTTGAGAGGGTGTGTGGTCTTTATAACGAATTGCGGTGGCCAACCGATGTACAAGTCACTGCTTTTATCCTCCCAGACGAGTCTGGTACCAATTATTTACTACGGAAGGATGAAATGCTTGGTTGGCCCAGGTGGATATCGATATCGGCTCGGGAACTATTGGAAAACCCTTTCTCTTTCTCATTAATTCTTACCTGTCTTTGATGAGCGATGAGACTGCCGTATCTCGTCGTCCCTCTCCATCCCACATCCTTTCGAGGAGGAATCAGTTTTCCATTCTGTAATAAAAATGATCATAAGAAAAGTTTTGTGAGATGGGATTTTAAGCTCTTGTTATTCACTATTTAAAGACATTCACTTCCCCTTTCCCTTCCCTTTCTTCCTCCTCTGCTTCCTTCCCTTTCTGGGTGTCGGTAGCAACAAAGTGCTAGCGGAACTTACTTTATCAACGTATTTTCTTGCTAGACCGAAATCGTAGAGAAATATAATCTTGGATTGTTTGTTGCAGTGCCTTCCGGGAGCAAAGTTACCCGGTTTAATATCACGGGATATGTAGCCAACCTTGTGTAATTCTTCGATTGCCTTCAAATAATAATTATAGAAATTCCTATGAGCCTCAACGGCTGGTCTATGGAGAACACAGTAATATCTTCTGGTGATTTTCGAGAGCTGTTAGTGATTCTGACGTGCTTTTTCAAAAATTGCTCACGAATTGCGCTTCCTGAAGCAGAAGAAAGGACACCTTCCCCTCTGGAAGCATCTTTACAAAGGAGTTGATCATTTGATTATGGAAGCAGCGATACTGCTGTAAGGAGTGAGTCAGGGCATTCCACTCAAGGCAGCAGAACTAGGTCGTCACGCCCTTAATTGAATAATGGCGTCGATGGGAAATTGCGAGATTGCAGAAAGGTATCACGTCGTATACCATTATAGCCAAAGCAGTTTATGTTTTGGAATCTTATATAGATTTGCCCTTACCCTTAAAGCTTGCATGGCAATTCTGATCGATGTGCTGAGGGTGAATTTCCTCTCATGCATCTCTGATCGGAGTTTGTGCAGATCTTTGAAGAGTAACGTCATCACAACATAAACATATTCCGGTTTATTTGATCCCTGAAATCATACTGTAAAACTTCACCCACACTCCCAAAAACTATTGTATGAACCACGCTGAAAAGGAAGAAGGCTAAAGCTCTATGGTATTGACAAATTCCCTTTCGGGATGCGCCCTAAATCTGACCTCCGTTCGGATTCCTGGTGACGTTTGATTGCGGATGTGGTTAGCTAATGTACACGACACTAGTTTATAGACCTCATTGAGATGGAAGGCACTCCTGAGTTGTAATTGTCGCAGTGGATGTTTGTGTGTGTGTCGGTGTATGGGTGTCTATGCACGGGTGTGTCTGTATGTGCGCCGGTGGGTGTGTATGCATATATAGTGTGTTTGCATGTGTATGTATCGGTGTCGAAGTGGATGCGTCGATGTGTGTGTGCCAGAGCATGTGCAGATGGGTATATCGGAATGAGTGTATCCATGGGTGTATGTTTGTGTGTGCGCGTGTTTTTGGGTGTGTCGGTGCGTGTGTCAGTGTGTACATACATCGGCGGGTGTGCACGTATATACGTACGTGTATTTGTGTGCGTAACGTGTGTGTGGTTTGGCACATGTGTATGTTTGTGTGTATGGGTGGTGCGTCGGTGGATGTGCATGTATGTATATATGTGTGTGCGTGTCTGTGTAGCCGGAAATTCATCACTCCTTTTCTCTAACGAAGACTTCAGATTTGAAGGGATTGCGATCAACTCTTACAAAAAAGGAAGAACCCAGCCTGAACCAAGCGATCCAACCGGTATTACTGAATGCTCTAAATACATAAAAGCCTCCTTCGTCTCAATGAATGAAGTTGTGTGGGCAGATCTTCCGTGGGACTTTTCTTCTCTGCTGAAATATTTCTTGATGTGAATCGAAAACTCACATAGTCAATTAATTCACAAAAATGCTTTGCTTTCGCTGCATTTGCAGCCTTTAAGACGCCAACTTCGATATGTAACATCGATTTGCTATACTTTTCTGTTTTAACTGCTACAGGCCTGCAAGCAAAAATTTCTGAATTCAACGCAGTTCAATCTCTACGCAGACCTTTGAAGGGCACAGTGGGCACAATAATAACTTGTTTGATTCCCATGAAAAACAGAACCAAAGGCCACGCAAGTTAATGCATTGCACAATAAAATCTCACTTTCATTGCAGCGTGGACACATCCTTTTAAGTGCAGAACCTACAACTTAAGGTGGAAACTGCACTTCTTCTTTTCGATTACTTTAGTTGCTCTTTATTTCCCTATCAGGCATCTTCTCCGCTCGATTATCACATCGATTTAATGTTAAGGGCCCAGTTCTATTAGGAGAAGGGTTCATCGATACCAAGACCATAGAACACGTTTTTAGATGAGGTTGGATTTGCAGATTCCCTTCTAGGACGAAGTTTCGGCTCCGCAGACATTATGTAGCTTTGTTATGAGCAAATCGGTTTACAGAAGACTTTCGTCAGGCATCATCTTTAAGCTGTCACCCTTTGAAGTGGTCAAGTAAGTTGTCAAAAGAATTATTGTTCATCTGAGCCCTCTTTCGGAGTTGCCGCTCCCCTGTTTGATTGACTAAATGAAGCTTCATTTAAGATATTTGATCGTAATTGACACTAATTTAGGTCACCGTCTATGAGTCACATTTCCTGCCAACAATAAAACTTCGCGGCAAAATGTTTGATCTCGGGCGGGCTCGAACCGCCGGCCTTCTGTGTGTTAGACAGATGTGATAACCACTACACCACGAGATCGCTGATCAAGACTCCGGTCTCGTTGCAGTCCATCGATGTGGGAATGGGAAGTCATGCTTATTGCTAATGAAGCAACCTTTTACAGAATATTTGATCTCACACTGCTATTTGTCAGTAAGCTAGATATTGCTAGCGACATAAGGGTCCTTATGTCAACGAATTAGCCAAAGAGTTCCCGGAGTCTTCTTAGTGGCTCTTCATAACTTTCGTTCGTTTTGCCCTCATGGCGTAGATATAGAATATCTAACGGGCCAATTTCATATTTTCCACCATCGTCGTCAATAATTCCTTGCTCTCCATGTGCAGCTATGATACCGGCTCGGTAGGATTTCCTACCAGCCGAATCTCTGTTAGAGGAGAAAGTTTCTGAGTTTGACTTGAAATGGAAGGTCTTATTGTTAGTTGAAAAGTATAGTTGTACTCAGCATTTCCTCCATATCCTAGCTGTTGGTGTTTTGCACTTCAGGAGGACCACTACGTATCCCCTGCTCAATGGGAGCTTCTGGTACAGGTGTTCTGGTGTCGCGAATCATAAATTTAGCTTCATGATCTTTTACGATCTGGACATCTGACATTCTCCAGTTTCGGTTTTGTCGCGGTGCCTGTCGCAGTACCTGTCGCAGACTACGGACTCCACCAATCAATCCGTATCTAGTACACAGGAGAATCCACAGTCGTTAAGGGTGGCGCGGACTATAAACATCACATTATCAGTAATGATATTTATCTGCATCCTTTCATCATTTCATCCTTTTTGATCGCTTCCATATGAGCGGTTGTAAGCACAACACCTCTACTACTATCTCAGTACGAATGAGGAGTAGCAACGTAGTCTTGTGTGGCAGGCATATGCAACCCTTCCAACCCCTATTCCTGCACCCATCAAACTGAAGTAGGATGAATGGAATCTCTACGATGAATCTCTCATCCTCCGGTCTTCGAACACGACTGTAGAACTTCTGCAAATACGGGACCAGCAGAGCTCTTTAGAGCAGAATCTCACCAGCTTACATATTTCACCTACTATTAGCATCACCCGCTGTGTTCAAAACTGACTTACTTCTGACCGTCCTCACTGAGAAATACAGTACCATATCCGCCATCGCCAAGAACTTGTTTTAACTTATATTTCTTTTCATCACCCTGAATTTCTTCATCAACAACTGGTAGACGATCTTTTTCAAGTTTTCTTTCTTTCTGTTCTGCTAGTTTAGGTATGGCTGCCGCTCCCTTTTCGGCTACATCAGCCATCCTGAAACCAATTATCATGAGATGTACACTATGAAGATACAGTAACATAGACAAAGGAACCTTCGGGTTAGGGTCTAGTTCGAGTAGAAAGCCGCGTACACTCGAGCGTATTGGTAGGATGTTGGACGAGTGAATGGCTACAACCTTACTCGAGACGATTTTATGAGGAAAAACATGTTTACAACGATTAGTAGGTTATTGTTACGTTTCCTATCACGGACCTAATTCAAAGGCACGATCAACGACAGGATGGGGGGGGGGGGGGGGGGATGAGGGAGAGTTTGCAGTTTTCAGTTCAGGAGGTATTGAATGTTCTGACCAGCTTTCTACCTCCTTGTCTTAAGAGAGTTATCTTTGTAGTGTTTCTTCGTCTGCCACTCTTTTTTCCTCTTTACACGAATGCCTTGGAAAGAGATAATTTCACTTCACAGTTCTGGAAGCTGAATAGATTATAGCGTATTTTGGTGGAATTTCCTATTTTATCGTAATCGTAAATAAGACAATGGAACGTTTATTTCAGCTTTGTGTCAGGGAGTAATGGGAAACCTTCTGGGAATCTCCTGCATCTACCTAATCATTCTCGAAATCTTCCTTCAGTACGGTTAATCCTTAACGAAATACGAAAAGTGGATTATCTGAAATAAATGAAGCGTGTAAAGCCATAAGTTGACACAGCAAAATGATAGATAACTGAATTAGGTAAGAAGATGGCTCGTTTCGCCTCTTGAGCAGACGATCCACCGTCTCCACTTCCCCCTGAGCCACGAAGTGAATGGGTGAAGTATATTGTTCAATATAATTAAGTACTGAGCAGAAGTGACTAAGAAGTTACCTTTCGGTAATGTTTAATAATGAATGTCTTTGTAACCCATATCCCATCAACAAGCTAAGTAGTGCTATTGAGATTGCCCTTAATGAAATATTTTTAACAAATAAGTTTATTTCTATATGTACATCCAATATATAAGTAAATACTAATTCCGCTTTATACCCATTTCTCGTGAGGATGTCTATCATTCCCATTACTTTTCCGTTAAACGCATCAATTCTAGAACACGTATTTGACAATTCTCAACAATGCTCATATGTACATAACCGAGGCTTTATTTGTAATAGAAACACCAGTGCCACTGTGAGAGAATATGATGGTTGACGCTGAAATCATTAGTTTTGTTACACAGTTTGGTACTGACTTTATCGCTGGTTAAATTAATATTCAAGTCTGAATAGTTGCTAGTTCTTTCATCTAAATGTGGTATTTTGTGCCTAAGTGTGATTTTATATTTCATATATCAAGGAGCATTGTTCCTCAATAACTGATTCGGTTTGGTAATGTATTGCTAACGAAAAGCTGCAAGCCTCCAAGTATCGCCAAGGGTGCCTTCCAGCAACTTTTGCGTATTCTTCAAAGTAGTATACGTAAATGCAGAAAAAGTTTGGCTCTAGACGTCTTAATGTTCTAGTTGTGTGCATGTAAATTTTTTCTGGAGAACTTCCTATACTTAAAGAACTATGTAAGGTTCTTGAGAAGCATTATTGACAAATATCCCTCTTGCTGAGCATATTTGTTCTCAACTCATGTCAAAATTGCTTAATCTAACAAAGACCTCGTTTGTCTTGCTCGTTGTTTTTCATTTATTCTGTTCACATTGGCACCCAAACTTATAAACAGTTTTTGTTTAGGTTGCATACTCACGGCTAGGTTCGAATTGCGGCTTAGCACATTTCATTTAGTCATCGGGTTGTGAATCTACTGGTGAAACACTTCATCGATCCTTTTTTGGCGAATTTCTTTTTACTTGATTCAATTTTTTTTTTCGAAATACGACTCTATGGGGTGCACGGGTTCGTGGTCAGAAAGGGAGAGTGGCGTAGAGCAGAAACAGATGCTTATCATTGATAATGGCTCACCAAGTGTTCAACCGCTCTCTACAGTTACGCAAATGCCTCCTGGTTTCTAAAGTTCTTATTTGTCAATAATGTTGAGTTTCAGTAAGTAAAGGAAGCTTCTGCACTCCTACACATCTGTTTTTTCATCCTGTGACTTCCTTTAATTTTCCCTTCACTTCCTCTTTCTTTAACATCGGATTTTTCCTTCACAAAAATTTCACTTAATATGCCCACCTATTTGCGTAAAGCTCTTTTTTATTTCAAAACTTTTTTCGAACACTTTGTGCTTCTCTTCATCTAGTTATACTTCTAGGGTACAAAAAATTGGTTACAGCTACGAGAATATGAGTGAGGCAGATGTCCAAGTTCTGCAAAGTGAAATCAAAGCAATGGGGGATGAAATTAGGTCTCTGAAAGCAGAGAAGGCTGATGCCGCATTGGTAGGTCTATCGTTCCCGGAACGTGTCTTAACACCCTTCTGCCAAGAGGTGTCATTCAGCATTGTGTTGTTGATTTTACGAATACGTCGCGCAGTGTCATTAACGTACCTTTTGTATTTAGTGATAGGCTTGAGCACTGTTATTTCCCGCAGCATTTCATGGTGTCAGTCGACCGGTAAGGATGTTTTGAAATAGGTAAAGACGGAGCAACACCATAAACCAATGCCTTCTATTGATTTGGTATGACTTTTCCCGCGAACGGGCTTACTCTTTCAAAACGGTCGTCGTTCTCTTGAAAAATGGAATGCTGACGAAAGGGTATCCCATAAACATATAATAGTATAGGATCTTGTCCGTCATTGAATGCCGTCCTGTACTTGTTGTTAAAGTTCGGTAGAATTGCGAGTTCCCATTCGCTATCGTATTTCGTATCATTTTGACGTTTTTTGCAAATAATGGTATGTGTGAATGTTATAGTGACACTGGGACTGGCTTTCGAAGATGATCTCATCGCGGTTTTTGAGGGAAGGCTTGTATTATTGCACCACAGTGCGAAAACCTGTTATTTATACACACCGTAGTGGCAGAAGGGTGCGCAGAAATTTTCCACATTTTTGATTTAAATAGGCCTTGCTTTAAAGCTCATTCGCATTAAATTTAATTAGATTTGTATTGGATTGTTTTTAGATAAAAGAAAAGATAGCAGCTATGCTCGAGAAGAAGAAATTGCTAGGTGACGGTCAATTGGATCAAGGAAAACATATTTTGAAAACAGCTAAAGGTAAGAGTAGTGCCTGCGTGGTATTCCTCCATAATTTTCTTCTTTCTTTCATTTTCATTTTGGCCTTTTTGTAGGAACTCGAGACTACGGACCAAAATCAATGGCTGTTCGAGAATCAGTGCTCAAGATCGTAACTGATGCATTTAAAAGACATGGAGCGGAAACGATTGATACACCAGTTTTTGAGCTCAGAGAAGTAAGCTGGAGGCTTTTGATCATTGAAAAGTTCATCCTTGCTCTTCTTTGTTTCAGGTGCTCATGGGTAAATATGGTGAGGAAGGAGGAAAACTTGTTTATGACCTTCAAGATCAAGGAGGTGAACTGCTCTCGTTGCGATATGATTTAACGGTTTGTGACACCTTTACCCCTTAAAATGGGTCATAAAGTATTGTGAGTTCCAGCAATCTTCTATGCTTTCTCTCTTTCAGGTGCCGTTTGCTCGTTATCTTGCTATGAATAAAATTACCAACATAAAGCGGTATCACATTGCAAAGGTGTACCGTAGAGATCAGCCAGTGATGACGAGGGGACGTTACAGAGAGTTCTACCAATGTGTGGGTGCTCAGTTGTGGTTATTTTGAGTAACCCTGTTACCTATTGCCTTCGTATCTACTTTTCGATTTTACTTTTTCAGGATTTTGACATTGCGGGTCAGTACGATTTGATGATTCCTGAAGCAGAATGCTTGAAAATTGTAGACGAGGTTCTATCAAAACTAGAGATCGGTGAATTTAACATTAAGGTGTGAAATCGATTCGCTTCTTTTCATATCGCTACGATTACAAGACAGATTCTTTTTTCTCAAAGTAAGTATTCCAGTTGAACCACCGCTTCATTCTCGAGGGTATGTTTGCCGCTTGTGGAGCTGGTGCCGATCAGTTCAAAACCGTTTGTTCATCTGTGGACAAGCTCGATAAGCTGCCGTGGGTTGAGGTATTATCTGCGGTTATCATATGATTTGTAAATGGCGTATCATTCTACGTTCAGGTAGAGGAGGAGCTCATAAAGGACAAAGGTTTGACGAAAGAGAATACCGAAAAGTTGGGCCAATTCGTCAGGCTGAGAGGTTAATTTTGCAATACTGTCAGACACTTCGAATTTTTGAATTTCGGCATATTATAGAATTCAATCCTTCCATGGGTAATGTGGAGCTTCTGGACAAACTGATGGAGTTTGAGGATCTTGCAAAAAATGCACGATTCAAGAAAGGTGTCGAGGAATTGAAAGCAAGTCTCTATCATGCTCTGTTTCTTCAAAGATTGCATTGTCTAACATATACTACATATTAAAGGTACTGGTGAATTACTGCTCACTCTTTGGCGTTAGCACTGTGAGGTTTGATCCTTCGCTAGCCCGGGGACTGGATTATTATACAGGAGCTATTTACGAGGCTGTTGTTCCAAGTGGGTTATTAGGCTCCGGATTGATTTGATATAATCTTTATGAACAATCCTTCATTTTTATGGCTTGTAGTTCGGTGCGAATTATAATGGCACCTCATATACCGATGTTGAATAGACAGTAATAGTTCCATATTTCAGAGGCGTTAGAAGGTGTAAGTCTTGAAGCTAATGGTGAGGAGCAAAAGGGTCTTCCGGTGGGCGTCGGATCCGTTGCAGCCGGTGGAAGGTAGTAGCCCCAGTATCTATGCATGTTTTTTTCATAGTTTCAGTAATATACGTCTCGTCTAGATATGACGAGTTAGTTGGCAACTTCATGGCACCTAGTGGGACAAAGGGGAAAGAAAAACGCCAAGATGTGCCTTGTGTCGGCGTTTCTTTTGGTATTGAACGATTGTTCGCCATTATGGAAGCAAAAATGCAGGTATCTTGGTGATAGCTTTGTTTGCTAATCGTATTATGTGCTGTATTGATTCTTTGAAGATTGAACAGCTGCAAGTGCGAACTACTGAAACTGAAATTTACATCGCATCTGCTCAAAAGAATCTTTTGCAAGAACGTATGAAGCTCTGTAAGATTTTATGGGACGAAGGATTCAAGGTGATGTTGCATTGATGTATTTTTTTTTTGGATCTGAACGAAGACAAGGAGTCTCCTTTAGGTTGAGCTAGCCTATAAAGCCAACCCGAAACTGCTCACTCAACTGCAATACTGTGAGGACAGGTTAGTCCCACTGGTACTGATAGTGGGAGAGCGCGAGCTTCAAGATGGTGTAGTGAAGCTTCGTAATGTCAAAACAAGGGTGGAGCAGGTAATGCTATTTTCCGATGAGACTTTTTTTCTGACACGTTTGATTTTTTTCCAAAAAATAATCAGAGCCTATGTAAGGTAACTCGAGATATCCCTCTGTGAGATTTTTAGAATCTCTCACTCGTCAATAAGGATTTTCGTACCTTTCGTCTAAATCGAGCATCCCGTTCGATTCAGACGAAAGGTACGAAGGCTAGAGTAAAAAAGTAGTCTGTGTCAAAGATCTCCTTCTGATCAGTTATACAGCAGAACAGTAGGTCCGATATGGTGCTTTTGTAAGGTATTCATTTTGGTCGTGAAGCCTGGATTAGGTAGTCAAGTATTACTGTCCTGTTGTAAAGACTGATGAATCCGTATGAGAAACGCTTCTTTAGTCGTTTAACTAGTTTAGTTCCGTTCCTCGTGGGTCGCTTTCACACATTTAGAGGTAACAACTTAAGTGAATACTCAAAATATATTTTTAGGATGTGCCTGTAAATGAACTGGTTCCAACTCTACGATCTACTCTTTCGTCGTTGAAGTGAACTGTGGTATTCCTTTATGTTTCTCAAGTTGTGTGATTTTTCAACATGTGTTTTCTCATTCTGTATTGATGCGCTGATTGTTACTATCTTATTTCGTTGTTGTGGTCCGCTTGGTCACGGCAAGTTGTTTTAGGTTCTTTCCAAATTTGTTCCATTCCGTTGTTTTTGTTTGCTTAGTTTCAATGGGTTCACAAACAAAGTCGATATATTTTCAAGTTTTAATTTTATACACAGTGCGGTGCTCCTATGAGGAAATGTTTGATGTCTGAATTCTATAAATAATTTCAAGCTTTTGTTTAGCTTTGATTGTTATCTCAGGTTTCGCCATGAGTACATCAATTTTGGAGAAGTTTATTTGATTGCTATCCTTTTTGTGCTACGAAAGTGCTTGCTTTGTTACAGTGAAGGATGTCTATGTCAAAGTCGTCCTACACGCAATACAACAGGAAGAACTGGGAGGATGCAGATTTTCCTATACTATGTCAAACATGCCTTGGAAGTAATCCTTATTTGAGAATGGTAAGTGGTGTTGCTAAGTGAGCAAGCTCATTGATTCTAAATCTTTTTCTAATTGTTGTTAGCGCATTTGTCGTTCAGATGAAAGACAAATATGGCAAGGAATGTAAAATATGTGAGCGACCATTCACTAATTTTCGTTGGCAACCAGGAAAGGGCGCACGTTATAAGAGCACTGAACTGTGTCAGACATGTGCTAAAGTGAAGAATGTCTGCCAAACGTGTATGTTCGACTTGGAATATGGTACGTTCCTCTTGAATTTGAGTAGGTCAGATGAATTTTCATTTTTGAACAAGAATCCTAGGGCGGCTCCTTCCTCCATAGTGTTTTGCATAGCTGGAGGAAAGAGGCAGTGCAGATCTCTGTGATAAGCAATTCATGAGTAGAATCTTGTATCTCCCTTCTACTGTCTCGTATGTGTTTGGTATTCTAATTGCCATTTGTTTAGGGCTACCCGTTCAAGTTCGTGACGCAGCACTTCAGATCGCCGACAATATTCCTCGTCAGGGAGCCAACAGGGACTTCTATCTTCAGAATGTTGAGCGGTAGGCTCCCTAAATATGGCCGAAGTTGGTGCTATATTTTTGTTGAGGCCAATAATCCTTGCAGAGCACTCGCCAGCACAGATGGCACAACACCAGTAGGAGCATTAGCAAACGTTGGTGATTCGGCTGGAACGGAAATGTTAAAGCGCCTTGCAAGGACTGCCCCTTATTACAAACGGAATGCACCTCATATCTGCTCATTCTATGTGAAAGGTGAATGTAAAAGAGGAGAGGAGTGCCCATATCGGTGAGTTTTCAGTTTCGCATTTATCATCTATCACCTTTTCTTTCATAAAACGTCAGCCGTGCCTTTCCGTTTGCCTTTAAGATGATTATGGCTGTCTTGATTTCAGCCATGAAAAACCATCAGATCCTGACGATCCTTTGTCTACTCAGAATATCAGAGATCGATATTACGGAAGCAATGATCCCGTAGCCGAAAAGATCATGAATAGAGCTAAGGTACTTTCCTATTTCGCCAATATTTTCGATCATTTTGGAATAGTGTTCTCACGATCACTTCAGGAACCTCTCGATGTCGTTTAAAGTGTGTTCAGTTGTCTGATGCTGTTCTTTTTAAGGCTATGCCAGCGCTGGAACCTCCTGCAGACACTACAATAACTACATTATATGTTGGCAACCTTGGACCTGTTGGGCAGATAACTCAAAAGGATTTGAGGTTCGTTCAACTTCTCACTGTTGTAATTCTCATTCATTTGAAGCACTCATTTGAATTATAATATTTTTAGTGATTACTTCTATCAGTTTGGTGACATTCGAAGTTTACGTCTGTTGGAGGCGAAATCGTGTGCGTTTATTCAATTTACCACCCGGGAGTCATGTGAAATGGCTGCTGAAAGGTCGTTCAATAAGTTGTTCCTCAAGGTAAGTTTGTTGTACTTTTTTTATCATTTTTATTTTTTACTCTTGATTTTATGAACCCATTACGAGTTTTGTCACAAAAAACTAACTTCGAATGTGTTATTATTCCCAGTTTTTTATAGTTACTTAGAATCCCGCTTACGTGAGTTTCATTCAGGGCCGTCGTCTGGTAATTCGATGGGGACAACCTCAAGCGCAGAAAGCAGATGAGCAACGAACCATCAATCCAGTGCCCTCCTTACCGAATCGTATGTTATCATCTGCTATCTAATTCAAATTTTCGAAGTCTCGTTTTTGTATGTTTTCTTACTGAATAACATGGGCCAGTATGGGATTCACGAAATTTCCCTTCGTGTTTCCATTAACTTTCCATTCGTACCAAGGGTGCCCAGGGACTTCGGACTCCCCATCACCAGTAGGTGCACTCGTTATCAATGTGTTTTGACGGTTGATCTATGCCCCGGAAGTCTACAGTGTGCTGCTTCTGCTTCATAAGTGAAATGTTTACCGTCTTATACTCGAATTAAAATTACCGTAAATATTGTTTCCACCTAACTGATGCCCTCCAAAAATTCTGAGTCAGTTTCATCATTGCATTACTTGAGGTGTTTTTTTTTTCAGCGTGCCCTGTTCCTGAGGATTTGGTTCCATCTTCTAAACGTCAACGCATCGATCCACTTAACATTCCTCTTCCACCTGTACCTCCCAGCTTTGCAGCTCCATCAAAACTTGTTGTTCCACCTTCAAGGCCTCCGGCAGGTTTGTCTTTCTTCTTTAAAAAAAATTGAAACCTCACATTTCCTGTTGTTTATAGGTGCTTCTACATCAGCAGCAGGATCTAGTACTGACAGCAGTGCTGGTACGTCAAGTCGTACTGGCGGCATATATTACCCTAGTCAGGATCCACAACGTTTGGGTGCTAAAGGGGACGTAATTGAAGAATAATGTAGTTATAATTATCTCATTGGACGTGTATAACACAATGAATCGTAAATCCCACTATATTCAAAATCTTCATAAAATGCTTATTTCTTGAAGGAGTGTCACCTTTGATCCTGTGTCGCTTTTTCGATTCTTTGTTGTTGAGCATCTCACATTCGTTATTTCGTTCCCNCCCTACATATTTCTTTCGACTAGAAATATTGTCAACTCCAGCTTAGGGAGCTAGAGTTTGATTGATGTTTAAGGGAGCACTGCACGCGTGGAGCACCAGTCATTAGTAATGTAGAACGGCTGGTTCTTGTTTGTATAAGGAGAAATATGTATGGGCATCATGTATACATGAATGAATAAACATGTTCAATTGATTGCCATATCGAGTGTTCGGGCGTGACCCTATAAGATTCCTGAAAAAAGTTCGAGAAGAATAAGTGGAATTAACTGTTTTCTGGTAGTCTGCCTGTTCAGAAGGAGACATAATGTGTTTTAAATCGAAGCATACGGATGATGATACTAATAGCTTGGTTTTTCAAGTGCGCAGATTTTTTGTGGCTCTCTGATTTGACTACGTCTCGTAACGAGTTATTTCTACTCATAATGCGCCTTCTACTTAAGATATCCTTCAGATGGTGTATCCTGCATCTGTTTTCATCACTGGGGCAAATAGAGGCATTGGACTTGGTTTAGTCCGCGAATTTCTAAAGGTGCCAACAGTGAAACATGTAATTGCTGGTGCTAGGAACCCAGATAATGCTGAGGTACGTTTGAATTAGGATTTCTGCAACTTATTGTTGAAATGTGCAACATGCTCAGGAGCATATACCCGTAGGCATAAATAAGGTTGTCCATCCATAGTTGCGCATAAGCACATAGGGCATATAGAGGCTAGAGCACAGTTATTGTGCCGATGAATGTCGTTTTGTCTCTTCCCTATTCGGATTTTCATAGCTGTGGTGCCTGATCGCAACGATTATAACCTCCTCTATGCTCAAAAGTATCCGGTAAGGAAACCATGAAAACGTTTTGCTATTCATCTAAATGAGTGCTTACCAAGTATTTGAAAATATGAATTATGGATGTGGCAATATATAATATTTGTTCAGGAGCTGAATGCCATCGGCGATAAACGGCTGAATGTCGTTAAAATTGATATTGAGTCTGACGAATCCATTAAAAATGCATATAAGCAAGTAAGTTTTCTGAATGCCGTAAATCGCTTGTTGTAAAGTAGTGACTCCGTAATCAGTGGATCATAGAAGGGATTTTTAAGATTGAAACTATAGTTGGTGAAAGTGGATTGAATATGCTGCTGAACAATGCAGCTATCCTACCGCCATACTTCACCAATGGAGCTATTTGTCGGGAAACGTTGATGAAATGTGTCAACGTCAACGTCTTAGGAACCGCTATCGTCAGCCAGGTTTGTTCGCTGAGAACTCAGCTCACTGTCTAGAGATGTGCTTTCGGAAGGCTAGGTTTTATCGTTATAGACATTTTTGCCGTTGCTGCGCAAAGCATCCTCTCATGGCTCAGGAGATCACTGGGGTGTCGATCGTGCAGCTATTGTGAATATTTCTAGTTTCTGGGCATCCATAGAACAAAATGAAGACGGATCAGGAGACCTCGGTTCTCTCGCCTACAGAATCAGTAAGGCAAGTTATTAGCTACCGATTCGAGTACTTCATACGGGTTGATGTAGTACAACCTCCTCAGGTACGAATCAGAATAATATGCAAAAATTTTTCATTAGCTAAGTGTTGGTGGTTGAACTGCTATTGCGTTTGCTTTTCTTGGCTTGAAATGCCATATATTTCTAGCTGTTAAAAACCATCTTTTACTTTTCCGTTCTATTTATATTTATATTTATATTACTGAGCAAGTTTCAGTCTGCTGTCAACCAATTGGGTAAGACCATGGCGATAGATCTGAAAGGGGATAAAATCGTTGTTGCACAGTTCTGTCCAGGATGGGTGCAGACCGATATGGGCAACATGGGTGGAAGAACAGCTGCCATTACCGTTAGTTCACATCACTCTATACAGTTTCTTTGTAATCTTAATTGTTGCTGAACCAGGCAAAAGCTTCTTCTAGGTCGAAGAATCGGCTTCTGCATTAGTGAAATCGATGTCGAAATTAACCAAAGAACACAGTGGCGGGTACTTTGATCGCCATCTAAAAGTCATTCCATATTGATCGTGGGTGCCTGGTTTGCCTTTGATTACCTCAACCTTTGTTCCTGCCATGTTTGTTTTGCTGAAGACTGCATTTATAAGAGTATGCGAAATTTTCTGTAGAAGCAAAAAAGAAACAGTACCTTGCCTGAATTATAATCAGAACTATAAAAAAAGGGACTTTATCTACCTCTCAATAAATTCTATCCCTTCACAACCCTGTTTTGCATCACTTCATGATTGTAGTAATCCGAAATGTAGTTCTAAAAACGAAGATTAGGCAGTAAAGAGGCGAGCGATAGGTAATTACTTACAACCCAATGTTCCATCTTGCCATTTTTCCGAGAAGATGTTTCGTAGTAGTCGCTTTTGAGTTCGATGGACCCGGTGTTTGAATTTGTTTAAATTTATCTTCCTACGTTCAGTTGATATTGAATAAAATGAATTTCTTTGTTGGTTGAATGGGAAAACTTGCCAACCGCATGTCCGTTCTTTCATTGACTCTTTTGTGTGGAAAACACGTAATGATCTTCAGTTGCATGGGTGATCCCACTTACACGATTGTATAGTTTTTCGACGTTATATTGACATAACTACTTCATTACCGTACCGTTGCATCTTACTAACACACACGTGTTTTTAAAACAATTTCATAGAGTGCATTCAGACGGAGCATGTGCAAAGGAGGGCGGAGATGGTGCAGTGGCGAATAGCGCACTATCTCATACGTACGGTCAGGGGTTCGAATCCCGGATCGATGCCCGCCTGGGCCAAGCTTTCCATCCCTCCGCGGTCGCTGAATTGGTATCAGACTCGTCTTTGAGGGTAAAAGCACTGACTTGTACATCGACTGCCCACCGCAAGTCATTGTATAGGCCACATACGCCTCATTACGCCACTACGTTTCTGAATGAAGTCGAGTGCGGGAGCGCATCCCTCAGACAGGATTGATTAAAGCCAAAAACTTCATCACTTATCCTTTTATGTGCTCAGAAATGATTTTACGTGGAATTCCTCTATAGCAACGCAAGTAATGCTCAAGCTACTAAGCTACTTTGACCCGTTTTCCTTCATGGCCAAAATAGGAGTGCCCCTAGAGAAAAGAGTCCGTAATGTAGCACGCGATATTGCTGAGCTCAACAATACCAACTTCCATTGCAGCAAAAAGCGAGAGCATGCAAAGAATCCAGCAGGCTCAGTGGTTCTTAAATACTGAAATTTCATTTGCGATGCCCTTTATTTCTGATGATGTGTGCGCTTTTCCTTCTGGTGAGGTGTTACTACGAGCCGCAGCCGCAAGTTCGTTTCTGAGAACTTCGTTTTCCAATGAGAAGTGGCTTCTCATGGAGAATCTTGTCTGAAAGACTAAACAGCCTTTTACCAAACATTGCTTATATTTCGAGCCCAAAATATGGAGTTATACTTTGAGAATTATTGCAATTTGTATCCTGGTGAACTGGTTCATAGTGGCAGTGCTTTTGCAGACGGATGGTGTGGGTTTGCTCTTCGCCTCTGTCAAGACTTCTGCACTGTGTTCTTTCGTTCCATAAGAGGTTTTGATAACCTTTTCTGACATCTGCTCAGGTGAACGCCCAACTTTATAAATTATTAACTAGTTGGATTACCCGGCGTTAGCCAGGCGCTCTCCTTCTCCGTGTAAAAGTGGCCTGTTGCCCACGTCCCCTCCGAATTTGGGCCTTGTTGCCAACAGAACAAGTGGTAAAAAATTTCGGCTAGACACATATACACACACTCAACGTCACTTCGTGAGCACCTCGCCCGTCATGAGCGGAGTTCTGCTCAACTCATGTGTTTTTAAGTGAACTGGTTCATTACCTTCTTTTTTTTCTAACTTAACTGAGATTACGCTCATTTTACGCACACTACACCCTCGCGAGCGAAGGCTTGTCCTTAGACCTACCATAGTATCGCAAGAGATGAATTGGGCCTATGAAATACATTCATGGACTAGGCTGAGAGGAGCCAGTCACGAGAGGAGTATTTGGAATAGTGAAAGGTACGGAAGAATGAAGTTTTCGTTCGGCTGGTGCGAACAATCAAACAAATTCTAAGTAGCGATTGCTTTCTTAGGGTGATGATCCTTCCACGTCCAATGGGATCACAATGCTTATGAAAAATGGGAAGATTTCTCGAACTACTTCTAACGAACATGGATGGGAGGTATCTTTAGAGATTCCTGATGGATATAGAAGCTGGAGGAACTAGCAGAAGTCGATGCTCTCCGCAAGCTCGAGTTCGAGCTCCCCAGGTTGTGTTTTCATTATCGTTATGCTTACAGTCATTTTGGATCGTTTCTCACTTGTGTCTATTGCAGGAGCCTGGCAATGCTAAGGAGTTTCAGAAACGAGATCAAGAAGGAAGAAAAGAAATGAGGCTGTCGGTGCTTTCGTACCGCATATAACAATGATGTATTACATTTTATCGTATTCTGTTGCTTTTCAGGTTAGACGGTTTTACGGTTCTCTCGAAGTTGACTAAGGAAATAGGAAATGGAGCAATACTGCAAAACATGTCTCGATGCGTCAATGATAAGACTTCTTATCTTCATATGCTGTGTCTTAATTTTCGTATACCACGATTTTGCATTTAATGACGGAACCATACTCCTGATGTTCTCGTAGACGGTGCCTCTTAGTGGCAGAACAGGCTACC